AGTGGACAGTTTGATTTCACAGAAGTGTGATTGACTTGGAGTTACATTGTGTTGTTTAAGTGTTCCCTTTATTTTTTTGAGCAGGGTGTGTATGTATGTGTGTGTGTATATGTATGTATATGTGTGTGTGTGTGTGTGGTCCTCTGTAGCTCAGCTGGTAGAGCACGGCGCTTGTAACGCCAAGGTAGTGGGTTCGAACCACGGGAACACCCATACACAAAAAAATGTATGCACCCATGACTGTAAGTCGCTTTGGATAAAAGCGTCTGCTAAATGGCATATTATTTATTTATTATATATATATACACACACACAGTGGGGAAAAAAGTATTTAGTCAGCCACCAATTGTGCAAGTTCTCCCACTTAAAAAGATGAGAGAGGCCTGTAATTTTCATCATAGGTACACGTCAACTATGACAGACAAAATGAGAGAAAAAAATCCAGAAAATCTCATTGTAGGATTTTTAATGAATTTATTTGCAAATTATGGTGGAAAATAAGTATTTGGTCAATAACAAAAGTTTCTCAATACTTTTATATACCCTTTGTTGGCAATGACATAGGTCAAACGTTTTCTGTAAGTCTTCAGAAGGTTTTCACACACTGTTGCTGGAATGTTGGCCCTTTCCTCCATGCAGATCTCCTCTAGAGCAGTGATGTTTTGGGGCTGTCGCTGGGCAACACGGACTTTCAACTCCCTCCAAAGATTTTCTATGGGGTTGAGATCTGGAGACTGGCTAGGCCACTCCAGGACCTTGAAATGCTTCTTACGAAGCCACTCCTTCGTTGCCCGGGCGGTGTGTTTGGGATCATTGTCATGCTGAAAGACCCAGCCACGTTTCATCTTCAATGCCCTTGCTGATGGAAGGAGGTTTTCACTCAAAATCTCACGGTACATGGCCCCATTCATTCTTTCCTTTACACGGATCAGTCGTCCTGGTCCCTTTGCAGAAAAACAGCTCCAAAGCATGATGTTTCCACCCCCATGCTTCACAGTAGGTATGGTGTTCTTTGGATGCAACTCAGCATTCTTTGTCCTCCAAACACGACGAGTTGAGTTTTTACCAAAAAGTTATATTTTGGTTTCATCTGACCATATGACATTCTCCCAATCCTCTTCTGGATCATCCAAATGCACTCTAGCAAACTTCAGACGGACCTGGACATGTACTGGCTTAAGCAGGGGGACACGTCTGGCACTGCAGGATTTGAGTCCCTGGCGGCGTAGTGTGTTACTAATGGTAGGCTTTGTTACTTTGGTCCCAGCTCTCTGCAGGTCATTCACTAGGTCCCCCCGTGTGGTTCTGGGATTTTTGCTCACCGTTCTTGTGATCATTTTGACCCCACAGGGTGAGATCTTGCGTGGCGCCCCAGATCGAGGGAGATTATCAGTGGTCTTGTATGTCTTCCATTTCCTAATAATTGCTCCCACAGTTGATTTCTTCAAACCAAGCTGCTTACCTATTGCAGATTCAGTCTTCCCAGCCTGGTGCAGGTCTACAATTTTGTTTCTGGTTTCCTAGCACTGCTCTATTGGTCTTGGCCATAGTGGAGTTTGGAGTGTGACTGTTTGAGGTTGTGGACGGGTGTCTTTTATACTGATAACAAGTTCAAACAGGTGCCATTAATACAGGTAACGAGTGGAGGACAGAGGAGCCTCTTAAAGAAGAAGTTACAGGTCTGTGAGAGCCAGAAATCTTGCTTGTTTGTAGGTGACCAAATACTTATTTTCCACCATAATTTGCAAATAAATTCATTAAAAATCCTACAATGTGATTTTCTGGAATTTTTCTCCTCAATTTGTCTGTCATAGTTGACGTGTACCTATGATGAAAATTACAGGCCTCTCTCATCTTTTTAAGTGGGAGAACTTGCACAATTGGTGGCTGACTAAATACTTTTTTCCCCCACTGTGTGTGTGTATATGTGTGTATGTATGTATATATATATATATATATATATACATCGTGAGGGAAACAAGTATTTGATCCCCTGCTGATTTTGTACATTTGCCCACTGACAAAGAAATGATCAGCCTATAATTTGAATGGTAGGTTTATTTGAACAGTGAGAGACAGAATAACAACAACAAAAATCCAGAAATACTTATTTCCATCATTAAAATGCAAATCAATTTATAACATTTTTGACATGCGTTTTTCTGGATTTTTTTGCTGTTATTCTGTCTCTCACTGTTCAAATAAACCTACCATTCAAATTATAGGCTGATCATTTCTTTGTCAGTGGGCAAACGTACAAAATCAGCAGGGGATCAAATACTTGTTTCCCTCACGATGTATGTATATGTATGCATGCATATATATATATATATATATACATATACACTCAGTTTATCAGGTACGCCCATCTAGTACCGGGTCGGGGCCCTCCTTTGTCTCCAGAACAGCCTGAATTATCCGGGACATGGAAACGTTGCTCCAATGGTATCAAGGGACCTAACGTGTGCCAGGAAAACCTTCCCTAGGCCGTTGACACCAGGCAGAATGGGGCCATGGCCTCATGCTACTTACGCCAAGTCGGACCAGGCGCTGTTTTTCCACTCCTCAATTGTCCAGTGGTGTGATCGCGTGCCCACTGGAGCTGCTTCTTCTTGTTTTTAGTTGATAAGAGGGGAGCCCGGTGTGGTCGTCTGCTGCAATAGCCCATCCGTGAAAAGGACTGATGAGTTGTGTTCCGAGATGCCGTTCTGCACGCCATTATTTGCCTGTTTCTGGCCCGCCTGTTGGCTTGCACGATCCTTGCCATTCTCCTTCGACCTCTCTCATCAACGAGCTGTTTTGCCCCACCGCACTGCTGCTGACTGGATGTTTTTTGTTTGTCGCACCATTCTCGGTAAACCCTAGACACTGTAGTGCGTGAAAAGCCCAGGAGGCCGGCCGTTTCTGAGATAATGGAACCGGCGCGCCTGGCACCAACGGTCATACCACGCTCAAAGTTGCTTAGGTCACTAGTTTTGCCCATTCTAACGTTCAATGGAACAGTAACTGGATGCCTGTCTGCCTGCTTCATATTGCAAACCACGGCCACGTGACTGGCTGTAGGAGCAAACCATTTTCTTGAATGGGGTGTACCTAATAAACTGACCATTGGGTGTATATTGGCCCAGAGCCATATGTATCTATCTATATGCCTCTTTGTAGGCCTACAATCATTTGATGTAGCTTATGTATGTCTATGGTTAGGCTTGATACAAACCGACAGGGAAGGTTTCACAGGGTCTGTCTGTGTGACCCAATTACACAGTGTACACATACATAGACATTCTGACCCTGATGACCTGAGGGGTAGCCTAGTTCACCAAGCGAGCTGATTTGCCGTATCTTGTTTGTACAACTGACCGTTCAGGCTACTATCATTGTCATGTTGTTGTGAATCGTTTGTACTATGTCTTCCAGGCATAAGACGTGGCTTTTCTGGTGAAACTTTCTGACCTGCTGCCTCTGAAACTACGATGTGGTTTTGATGATGTAATGGTCTTTGGACCTAGTGACTGTCACGGATTAGAAGTTTAGTAGTGGGAAGGACTGGTCTGGAATCATTGCTGTTCTTGATTGTTTGCGTTGCCCTTATCCTACGCCCCCAAACCGCTCTTAACTCTTTATTGCTGCTCGGCCTGCTCCTGATCGTCAGGCCTAGAATCTGATCTCTCCTCAGAAGAGTTCAGTAGTCATGAACAGGGCCTAAAATTAACTTTTTGTTCCACCAGCCACGGTGGCAGGTAGATGAGAATCTACCAGCCTCTCAGATTTTTTACCAGCCAAAATAATCTTTCACCATAATTACATTTAAAAAACTGATGACCATGCTTTGTAATGTTTCCAGAACAATACATTTATTAGTAAGAAGTAATGTGGTGTATTGCTCAATTTAATTTAATTTAATTTGTTCTTTTAACCAAAATAACAGATGAGACAAAATGTTCAGCTGCCCCTTTAAGGGTGGGAGGTTACCGTGGTAATTGGGCCACTGGAGGTGTGTGAGAGATTTGTGATGTGACTAGTAGTAGACGGTGTCTCTTCACTATCAGTGGAAGCAGCAAATTCAAACTAACATTGAATAACAACCTAGCTTGTGAACACAACAATGGAAATAGCCAAGAAACACGAGGATAAAGTCTCACTTTTCTGACTTGAGGTAAATTAGACCAATGTTTATGCCTGTGGCAGCGCCTCCATAAATGAATATCAGCGCTTCACTCAGTGTGCAAAGCTGTTGCTGCACGAGGGGGGATGTAGGAGTCCTATTTCTTTGTGTGATTAGCAGCTATGAAACAAAACAGCAGAATACTTTGAAAACAGCTACTTCAGCATTTTTCAGCTTGAAATTGCAACACGCACATATGTTCATACTTGACTATTCACAAATGCGAATGTAGAGCCCTGCAAATTGACCACCTGCCAACGTGGCTGGTGAAGTAGACATTCTTACCCGCCAATACCTATATCTACCCACATTTGTCGGGTGTTAATTTTATGCCCTGGTCATGAAGCTGCTGCTTGCAGAGACAAGATAGGATAGAGGCTGGTTCTGTTGTTGCTACCATCTAGGGAGATCTTTGTAACTCATCTAAATGTATTTAGTCCTCAGCAATATTGACGTGCAATATCCATATGGCATGCAATATTCTGAAAGGCCTCTCAGCCACGTGTACTTTGTAGTTTACTCCATTTATAGTTTGCTTCCCAGACACACCAAGCCCCGCCCCCTGTCACTCGAGCAGCAGTTCTTCCTCCTCACTTTTAGATTCACTAGAAGTTTGCATGCTGTTCCGTTAGGTCAAATGCAGTCAACAGATTGTTCCAAACAAGAACGATGCTTCTTCCCACTTATTATAAATCATTCTATTTCCATGATTCCAACAGTTCACTCAGTTCACTTTTTGCCCATATCAAGTGTTATGATCTATTTCGCAAGTCAAATCGCAATATTTGGTAAAAACACAAAAATGCTATTAGATTTTTTTGCCCATATCGTGCAGCTCTACTGTCAAGGAACCTGAAGACAGAGATTGAAGACCACAGTGCTCAAGTTAGTGAGAAATGACTACAGTTAAAGGGGAGGATAGCCAATGTTATCACATGTTAAAGGGGAGAGGAGAATTAGAATTAGTGAGAAGGCTTTTTTTCAGATTCTAGTAATTCTATGATCAGCACACACAACACCATCCATTTGTCTCTGGTCATGCTATCCTGGTCCCCTGGGTTCTGTCACCTGCTCCGTTCAGCACAGCTGTTGATATGAGGAGCTCCCTCCATGACGGGTGGGGGGGAAGGCAAACTCAACAGGCAGGGTCACGTTCAGTTGGCATGACATGTCCTATGAGAACCCGAAGGGGGGGGGGGGGGATTATGGTAGTCAATGGTTTCACACAGACAGTTTCATGAAAGTCACCATCGCAAGTAATAAACCATGCAAGTGACATTTTCTATTGGTTACTTTTCTTAGGTAGCCTAAATAGGTAGGATGCTAGCATTGTGATCACTGGTCTATGTGAATGAAGCCAGATAGTAAAACGTCAGTTTCATGCAGATATTGGCGCATGCATATTTTTGCATATGTACATATTTTCACGGCAATCAGGAAAGAGCTTGGTTGGTAAATCTCGGGATCCCGCTAGGGTTGGGCGGTATCCAGATTTTCATACCGTCATACCATTTCTCTACCATACCGGGGTATACGGTATTATACGGTATTTACAAAATAGCCTCCAACACTCTACTCAGCAAATTGGATGTTGTCTATCACAGTGCCATCCGTTTTGTCTCCAAAGCCCCATATAATACCCACCACTGTGACCTGTACGCTCTTGTTGGCTGGTCCTCACTACATATTCGTCGCCAAACCCACTGGCTCCAGGCCATCTATAAATCACTGCTAGGCAAATCCCCGCCTTATCTTAGCTCATTGGTCACCATAGCAACACCCACCCGTAGTCTGCGCTCCAGCGGGTATATCTCACTGGTCATCCCCAAAGCCAACACCTCCTTTGGCCGCAATTCCTTCCAGTTCTCTGCTGCCAATGACTGGAACAAATTGCAAAAATCTCTGAAGCTGGAGACACTTATCTCCCTCACTAACTTTAAGCATCAGTTGTCAGAGCACCTTACCGATCACTGCACCTGTACACAGCCCATCTGAAATTAGCCCGCCCAACTACCTCATCCCTATATTGTTATTTATTTTGCTCATCTGTACCCCAGTATCTCTATTTGCACATCATCTCTTGCACATCATTCCAGTGTTAATACTAAATTGTAATTATTTTGCACTATAGCCTATTTTATTGCCTTACCTCCATAACTTGCTAAATTTGCACACTGTATATTAATTGTATTTCTGTTGTATTTTTTTTTATTTTTGTTTTGTTTTACCCCATATGTAACTCTGTGTTGTTGTTTTTATCGCACTGCTTTGCTTTATCTTGGCCAGGTCGCAGTTGTAAATGAGAACTTGTTCTCAACTGGTTTACCTGGTTAAATAAAGGTGAAATAAAAAAATAAAAAAAATAAAAATTACCGGAAGTGCACACAAGGGGTGCTATTTCCCCCAAAAATAATTGTAACTTTATTTTTGTTGATGCACAAAACAATTAAGGCAACAGGGATCTTGATCCAGGCGGGGATTCAATATGTCTGCTGTAACCAAGAAACTTGATCTTGACATTTTAGCACTTAGCTAGCAAGTTAGCAAACCAATTGCATAGCTGGAGCCCTGAGCTGGCTATAATTTATTTGACACATCTTAGATTTTTTATAGTTATAAGCAGTGGCGTAGTTTTTTGTTTTCTTATGGTTTTGAAAATCATACCGTTGGTATTTCGAAATACCCCGGTAAACGGTATATTGCCCAAGCCTAGATCCCGGTTCCCTGTGTTAATCCCTAGTCCCAAATGAACATGGTGACCGTATTTGCATTATATTGGCATTAGGCCTACATGTGGAATGGTAAGCACATTACTTTCTACTTTGTGTTTGTAAAGATTTTTCACCCATTTGATGTTTCTCCTGCTCAACCGTTTTGTTTGTGTGATTTAGTTTGTGATTTCACCTCAGACAGTGACCGACCAAGGGTAAGCAGTGTGAGAGGTATGGGGGTTGCTTAGGGCTGGGAATTGCCAGGGACCTCACGATATCATGATACTTAGGTGCTGATACAATATGTATTGCGGTTCGATAATGTCATTTTATTGTGATTCCATGTTCCAAACATATTATGGTGAGCATAATGTAATTGCCCACCATATGTCTGTTGCAGAGGGACAAGAGAGCCATGAGTAAACACGTTTTGATCAGTCATGGAAATACAATTACTGAAAACATTTTGGCTCACTATTTAAAAGCTTCAGTCCAGACATGTGGGTGTACAGTAACTGAGGAAGAGCCAGAGAGGTTGTGAATGGGAACTCAAGTGCCCGTAGCTGCAGGGATGTCATTTACTCGCTGCTTCATTTATGGATCCACAGCAGGGACTCCTCGCTTGACTGCAGAGGAATGCAATGTGGCCAAATACTCTGCTGTCAGTCATAGAGATATGAGAAGCAGGCTGACTTATAGAACTCTTCTCTGTTAAAGATTTTTGAGCTGTGCAAAGGAAATGTAGCTCACTGCAGTGCAGCCATAGTCTGGCATTTCTACTAGTCGTATCCTATGCAGAGTTCTAAGGACTAGCCTCTGTTTCATTCTAGCCCTGTACTCTTATTTACCAGTTCTCTTTTATAAACAAGGTTACTTCACACAAATTATGTCACAGGAAAAATTAAGTTGTATTGGATTGAGTGTGAATGGTTTACTATGATCATTGTTATGGCTCTGTTTTTGAGAGCGTGTGTGTGTAGCAGTGGCAGTCGGTGGTGCATAGGATGAGGGAGGATGATAAAAATGTTTTATGACCATGGCCTTATTTCTATTACAGCATGTTGGATGACTGTCATTCATATTCCATTCACCCAGTTCAATGTAACATCCATAGGTTTAGGCTACTACATGATACACACATTTTCCCTATACCCATCATGAGGTTTTTAGTCATTTTAGTAATCAAGGTGACAGTGACACATTCAATACCGCCTTGCACTCTCTTGCTTGCATCTAGCTGATCTAGGGTGTAATCATTAGTCCAACAGTTTCTATTGGACAAATTCAGGTATGTTTATCCCCATTTTGTTTGCTTCCATTTAAGAAACGTTTTTCAACAGAATCGGCGGAATGAATACACCCCTGATCACACACAAACGGTTAACTTTCATAGCAGCCACATAAAAACAGTACGATCACTTTGCTCGTTGTGTGTGTATGTAATTCCTTCTCGCAACTATCTATCCGCTCTCCTCCTCTCACCTTTTCCCTTCGCTTGTGGACTTCAGTGCACATCACATTAGCTGTCTGCGACCAGGCGAAAAAACCTTTCCAAGCCAAACCTTCAAACTGTATCATTACCGTTAACCGCTACACACAGCCTACACCATTGTCATGTCAGTATGAAAAATGTATGCACTCACTAACTGTAAGTCGCTCTGGATAAGAGCATCTGCTAAATGACGTAAATGTCATACTGCAATCATGCAGTACAGTGTACAGTCAGCAAGCAGTTTAGCAGTTACACCGGCTGGCCCGGTGGCAATAAATTAATCAAACCAAAAGCTTACCCTGACTTGGAAGAGTTCCAATGTTGGATGGCCAGCTAGCTAACATAGCATCCCTCTCTGTTTGAGCCGGTTGTTTGAGTAGGCTAAACTAGCTAGCTGCATTTGCTAGCAAAGTGAAGGTAAAAAATAAATAAAATAATATAGCTCTCTCTCTCCCCTTAATTATTCAAAACTGTTCAACTATTGTCTCTCTTTGTCAACTACTCATCACATTGTATGCACTGCAGTGCTAGCTAGCTATAGCCTATGCTTTCAGTACTAGATTCATTCTCTGATCTTTTGATTGGGTGGACAATGTCAGTTCATGCTGCAAGAGCTCTGATAGGTTGGAGGACGTCCTCTGGAAGTTGTCATAATTACTGTGTATGTCTATGGGAGTGGGTGAGAATCAAGAGCCTCCTAGGTTTTGTATTGAAGTCAATGTACCCAGAGGAAACTAGCTGTCCTCCGACTACACCATGGTGCTACCCTACAGAGTGCTGCTGAGGCTACTGTAGACCTTCATTGCAAAACTGTGTTTTAATCAATTATTTGGTGATATGTGAATATATTTAGTATAGTTTTATCGTACTGTTTTTAAATGTTTCACTTTTTATTTTTATGACATTCACTGAGGAGGATGGTCCTCCTCTGAGGTGGCCGACTATTCCTAATGTGATGTGTAGATCGGATCGTCATAATTTAAACTGCATGGCTGAGCGCATACTGGTGTAGGGCTAGGCTATAGGCCAGGGATGGGCAACTCCAGTCCTCGGTGGACTGATTTGGTGTCACACTTTTGCCCCAGCTAACACACCCGACTCCAATAATCAACTAATAGTGGTCTTCAGTTTAGAATGCAATTAGTTTAGTTTGCTAGGGATGGGGGGAAAAAGTGACACCACTCCGGCCCCCGAAGAATGGAGTTGCCCATCCCTGCTATCTCAGATACGTTTCTTGCAATTCTACTACACTTTATTTTACTGGAGACATTCTCAGAATCTTTTTTAATACGACACGAATTACAGGGTAGCCTACTCTGCTGACAATGACAAACAGATCAATAAAAACGTTGTCTGATCCATATAATAAGCCTACGAGAAGGGGAGCCACAAATAGCCTACAATATGACATCCATCTAACCTGGAGGAGGAAATTATTGTCCAAAAGCGAACTCTCAAGTGGCACTGACCCAACAATGATAGTGAATATGCGTATTCACCGGGGATATGGTCGATGCCCTCCGCTGGAGCCAATAAGATGGGCTATATCAAGGGTACTCAACTCTTACCCGACGTGGTCCGGAGCCTGTTGGTTTTCTTTTCTACCTGAAAATGAATTGCACATACCTGGTGTCCCAGGTCTAAATCAGTCCCTGGTTAGAGGGGCGCAATGAAAAAATGCAATGGAACTGGCTTCGAGGTCCAGAGTTGAGTTAGCGGGGGCTGTACTGTTCAATCAATTAAGTTGAGAATTCTGCCAACTATAAAATACAGATTAGTCTTTTCATTGTCTTCTCTTTACAGTAATAGCCATTTGCTTTCCAAACTATGATGAAATATTGCGACATGCCTGGCTAGGTCTCTGCTTTTCACTGACAGTCGCAACTCAACAATCAACTATTTGGTATTTGCCATTTTAATTGCATTTCCATCTACCCGAAGATGTTAGGCTGTCATTAGCGTCGCTAACAGCTACACAGTGGTAGACATATAGGCCCCACCCCACAATTCCCCTGCCGTTGTTTCCTCTTCAGAAAGTTGGTATATTCAAAATGTGTGTCGCACTGCCAAGTCAAACGGTTGCAAAAGCGACTGTTTTGGTCGCACTATCAAACTCTGAGATATGGTTGTTTTGACTGTACTCTCTTCCTCTCCAGATGAGGACGTCCCTGCAGAGATGGTTGTTTTGACTGTCCTCTCTTCCTCTCCTCTCCAGATGAGGACGTCCCTGCAGAGATGGTTGCAGAAGAATCCGGTCCAGGAGCTCAGAATAGTCCGTACCAACTTCGAAGAAAGTCTCTACTACCCAAGAGAACAGCAGCGTGTCCAGCAAAGACTAACATGGAGGTGAGTCAATAGTATGGGATGCGTTCCAAAATGGCTCCCTATAGGGAATAGGGTGCCATTTTGGACACAGCCTATGTGTGATGTATGTGGAAAGACGGCACATAATATTTAACAATGGCTAGTTGCCTGAGTCACCAAGAGGTGGTGGGTCATTCTGTGTCCTCGGTAGGGTCCTGGGTAAAAGGGGTATGATGGGCTTCTGCTGCACCTTCAACAAGACACAGCATTGTGGAATGTTCAGATATACATCTGTTATGTAGAATAAACATCGTCTCTGACATGTAGAATAATGTATCATGTCAGCTCTACTCATTACATTTCTATCTGTTTGCCTGCTGAAAATGGATCTGCCGTAATGAATCAGCTCACCTAACTTGGACTGAGTGCCACTGGTTATAAAGAAATATTGCAAAAAGCTGTATTCTGACATAGACTAGTGAGCAATATCAGCATTCCACCCACAATGGTGTCTTCTTTAGCACGAGGCTCCCTTTTACCCACGGGCTGAATTTGATAATTAATCTTTCCTCTTTGCATAATTGATTAGTATTTCACTAGCGGTGGTGATTAATTGAAGAACTTGATTTATTGAAAACAAAGCTGAAATATTGATACGGTTGTTTTTAAGCAGATGACCATGGTCTGGTCTAGCAAAAGGTGTCAGCTGTCAAGGCTTATAACAATCTGTTTCTCGTTCTATGCGCAGGGTGCTTCCACTTCAGCCACAGAAGACTTTGGCCATCGGGCAAAGCGTGCCAGAGTGTCGGGAAAGTCTCAAGATTTAACAGGTAAAATAATAGTCTAAAAGTCTGTTTTTGTTTATTTTGTATTTATTAGTATCTCTTTTAGCCCATCTCAGGATAATCTTCCAATAGTCTTTAAAAGACAACAATGATGTACACAGTACAGTAAAACAAAGGACAAATGTTTTGGTCATTAACATGTTATGAGAATTGGAGGTTAAAAATGCCCCTGCTCTGTATTGGACCTTGTTTCTGTCTATCTCCTGTTATTATTTTGGATGTGTGAATATCTCCTCCATTAATTAAGAGTCCCTCTGGTTGTGTTCACAACTAGCAGCTCCAGCAGAGCACTACCTCCAGGAGAAGCTGCCAGACGAAGTGGTTCTGAAGATCTTCTCCTACCTGCTGGAGCAGGACCTGTGTCGCGCAGCATGTGTCTGCAAACGCTTCAGTGAACTGGCCAATGACCCCATCCTCTGGTGAGTGGCTGTTTGGCTATCCCGTTGTCTCTCTGGCTGTCTGGTTGCTTGGTTGGTTGGCTGTCTGCTTGGTTGGTTGGCTGTCTGCTTGGTTGGTTGGCTGTCTGCTTGGTTGGTTGGCTGTCCGCTTGGCTAGTTGGCTGGCTGTCCGCTTGGCTAGTTGGCTGGCTGTCCGCTTGGCTAGTTGGCTGGCTGTCCGCTTGGCTAGTTGGCTGGCTGTCCGCTTGGCTAGTTGGTTGGCTGTCCGCTTGGCTAGTTGGCTGGCTGTCCGCTTGGCTAGTTGGCTGGCTGTCCGCTTGGCTAGTTGGCTGGCTGTCCGCTTGGCTAGTTGGTTGGCTGTCCGCTTGGCTAGTTGGCTGGCTGTCCGCTTGGCTAGTTGGTTGGTTGGCTGTCCGCTTGGCTAGTTGGTTGGTTGGCTGTTTGCGTGGCTGGTTGGCTGTTTGCGTGGCTGGCTGGTTGGCTGGCTGTCTGCTTGGTTGGTTGGCTGGCTGTCTGCTTGGCTACATTTACATTTACATTTTAGTCATTTAGCAGACGCTCTTATCCAGAGCGACTTACAGTTAGTGAATACATATTTTTAAAATTTTTATACTGGCCCCCCGTGGGAAACGAACCCACAACCCTGGCGTTGCAAACGCCATGCTCTATCAACTGAGCTACATCCCTGCCGGCCATTCCCTCCCCTACCCTGGATGACGCTGGGCCAATTGTGCGCCGCCCATGAGTCTCCCGGTCGCGGCCGGCTGCGACAGAGCCTGGATTCGAACCAGGATCTCTAGTGGCACAGTTAGCACTGCGATGCAGTGCCTTAGACCACTGCGCCACTCAGGAGACAGTTGGCTGGCTGTCCGCTGGCTAGTTGGCTGTCTGCTTGCCTAGTTGGCTGTCTGCTTGCCTAGTTGGTTGGTTGGCAGTTTGCGTGGCTTGTTGTTTGGCTGGCCGTCTGCTTGGCTGGCCGGCTGGTTGGCTGGCCGTCTGCTTGGCTGGTTGGCTGGCCGTCTGCTTGGCTGGTTGGCTGGCCGTCTGCTTGGCTGGTTGGCTGGCCGTCTGCTTGGCTGGTTGGCTGGCCGGCTAGATGGCTGGCCGTCTGCTTGGCTAGATGGCTGGCCGGCTAGTTGGCTGGCTGTCTACTTGACTAGTTGGCTGTCTGCTTGCCTAGTTGGTTGGTTCTCTGCTTGGCTGGTTGGTTGGCTTGTCTGCTTGGCTGGTTGGCTGGCCGGCTAGATGGCTGGCCGTCTGCTTGGCTAGATGGCTGGCCGGCTAGTTGGCTGGCTGTCTACTTGACTAGTTGGCTGTCTGCTTGCCTAGTTGGTTGGTTCTCTGCTTGGCTGGTTGGTTGGCTTGTCTGCTTGGCTGGTTGGCTGGCCGTCTGCTTGGCTGGTTGGCCGGCTAGTTGGCTGGCTAGTTGGTTGGCTGTCTGCTTGGCTTGCTGTCTGCTTGGCTAGTTGGCTGGCTGTCTGCTTGGCTAGTTGGCTGGCTGTCTGCTTGGCTAGTTGGCTGGCTGTCTGCTTGGCTAGTTGGCTGGCTGTCTGCTTGGCTAGTTGGCTGGCTGTCTGCTTGGCTAGTTGACTGGCTGTCTGCTTGGCTAGTTGACTGGCTGTCTGCTTGGCTAGTTGGCTGGCTAGTTGGCTGGCTGTCCGCTTGGCTAGTTGACTGGCTGTCTGCTTGGCTAGTTGGCTGGCTGTCTGCTTGGCTAGTTGGCTGGCTGTCTGCTTGGCTAGTTGGCTGGCTGTCCGCTTGGCTAGTTGACTGGCTGTCCGCTTGGCTAGTTGACTGGCTGTCTGCTTGGCTAGTTGGCTGGCTGTCTGCTTGGCTAGTTGGCTGGCTGTCTGCTTGGCTAGTTGGCTGGCTGTCCGCTTGGCTAGTTGGCTGGCTGTCCGCTTGGCTAGTTGGCTGGATGGTGAGACCATAGAAATATAATCTATAGATTGGACCTTCCCATTTAAAGTCGATGACATAATGGGTGGACAGGTAGCTATTGCAAGTGTACCCATAGGAGCAAAGCTAGGTTGAAGATTAAAGGGTAAGACGAGGATTCTAATGTCCCGTAATGCTTTACATAAATTAGGAAGAATTGTAAACAATGGGACCAGCGATGCTAGTTAGCACCGGCCCCATAACGGTTTGTTTTCAAAGCTTCCGCATGGAATTATTACGTTGTCTTAATCTGGGTATCTTCAACCAAATGCAATGGATCCAATCTGGGACACGTCTTCCCCTCCAGTGTGTTATCGCTTCAAGTAACCCTGTCTGATGGTGTCTGGCTGTGCCTTGCTTTTCTTCACAGGAAGAGGCTGTACATGGAGGTGTTTGAGTACACGCGTCCTATGATGCATCCTGAGGCGGGGAAGTTCTTCCAGATTAACCCAGAGGAGTACGAGCAGCCTAACCCGTGGAAGGAGAGCTTTCAGCAGCTGGTAGGACTACGACCCCATGACCTCTATACCCACACTGTCCTTATTGTTACTCACTCACCTCTCACCTCTGACCTCTGTAAACCCTCACTCTCCTAAGAGTTACTGTTACTCAACCATATAGATACTACTACTGCTGCTAAAACAGTCAACAGCTTGTACAGACGTATGAATGCAAGAACACTGTAGAGTCCCAGTAATTCTAATTATTTGGTGCAAGTAAAGTTCCAGTGGAGTGAAAGAACGTGAGATTGTTGTGATTCTAGAAGGAATCCCACCATTAGTATTACTGTGCTATAATTGTGGTCCTCTGTAGCTCAGCTGGTAGAGCACGGCGCTTGTAACGCCAAGGTAGTGGGTTCGATCCCCGGGACCACCCATACACAAAAATGTATGCACGCATGACTGTAAGTCGCTTTGGATAAAAGCGTCTGCTAAATGGCATATTATTATTATTATTATTATTATAATAACGGCCAGATTCATTGTTCTTTTTGTGTTTACAGTATAAAGGAGCACACGTAAAGCCAGGCTTCGCAGAACACTTCTACAGTAATCCTGCCAGATACAAAGGAAGAGAGAACATGCTTGTAAGTGTGTTTGTTTGAGAGAGTGTAAGGGCCAGTTTTCTTGACACCGATGAAGCCTAGTCCTGGACTAAAATGCACACTGAATGAAGAATCTCCATTGCCTGAAGTGTGAGAGGAATGGTAGACAGAGGAATCCAGCAGTGCTGAGGCAGAGGGCTCGTAGAGAGGACGACTGGCTACTACTCTGAACTACAATATCATCAGCAGACTCCATCATCTACCATCCACTGACCAGCTCTCTCCGCTCAAGCCATGAACTGACCCGCTCCATCTCCAGAGGATGCAGCTTTCAGAGACTTGTCCTCTATTGGTTGACCTGTCCTGATATATTGCTGCTTTGTTTTTTGCTCTTGAAGCGCTTTGAGATTCTATGAAAGGTGCCATAGAAATGTAATTGATTATTATATCTGATGTTAGAGAAGCTTCCATTAAATGTAATACATTATTAATTATTATATCTGTTAGAGGCGCTATAGAAATGTAATACATTATTAATTATTATATCTGTTAGAGGCGCTATAGAAATGTAATACATTATTAATTATTATATCTGTTAGAGGCGCTATAGAAATGTAATACATTATTAATTATTATATCTGTTAGAGGCGCTATAGAAATGTAATACATTATTTGTATATCTGATGTTAGAGGTGCTATAGAAATGTAATACATTAATTATTATATCTGATTTAAGAGGTGCTATAGAAATGTAATACATTATTAATTATTATATCTGTTAGAGGTACTATAGAAATGTAATACATTATTTGTATTAATTATTATATCTGATGTTAGAGGTACTATAGAAATGTAATACATTATTAATTATTATATCTGATGTTAGAGGTGCTATAGAAATGTAATACATTATTTGTATTAATTATTATATCTGATGTTAGAGGTACTATAGAAATGTAATACATTATTAATTATTATATCTGATGTTAGAGGTGCTATAGAAATGTAATACATTATTAATTATTATATCTGTTAGAGGCGCTATAGAAATGTAATACATTATTAATTATTATATCTGTTAGAGGCGCTATAGAAATGTAATACATTATTAATTATTATATCTGTTAGAGGCCCTATAGAAATGTAATACATTATTTGTATATCTGATGTTAGAGGTGCTATAGAAATGTAATACATTAATTATTATATCTGATTTAAGAGGTGCTATAGAAATGTAATACATTATTAATTATTATATCTGTTAGAGGTACTATAGAAATGTAATACATTATTTGTATTAATTATTATATCTGATGTTAGAGGTACTATAGAAATGTAATACATTATTAATTATTATATCTGATGTTAGAGGTGCTATAGAAATGTAATACATTATTTGTATTAATTATTATATCTGATGTTAGAGGTACTATAGAAATGTAATACATTATTAATTATTATATCTGATGTTAGAGGTGCTATAGAAATGTAATACATTATTAATTATTATATCTGTTAGAGGTACTATAGAAATGTAATACATTATTAATTATTATATCTGATGTTAGAGGTACTATAGAAATGTAATACATTATTTGTATATCTGATGTTAGAGGTGCTATAGAAATGTAATACATTAATTATTATATCTGATTTAAGAGGTGCTATAGAAATGTAATACATAATTAATTATTATATCTGTTAGAGGTACTATAGAAATGTAATACATTATTAATTATTATATCTGATGTTGAGGCGCTATAGAAATGTAATGTATTTTTATTGATATAGGCCTAACCTTTTAGTTCTGGGGGTTGTTATTGAGTGATTGGTCATCATGAGTTCACTGGGACTTTGCTGTAACACACTTCTCTATGCTGCCTCTTCCTCAGTACTATGACACCATCGAGGATGCCCTGGGAGGTGTTCAGGAAGCCCACTTTGACGGACTCATATTCGTCCACTCTGGGGTCTACACTGACGAGTGGATCTACATTGAGTCACCCATCACAATGATCGGAGCTGGTACGTATTCGTTCTGTCCATTGTTTTTCTGTACCGTACACCGTCTGTTCCCCGTCTATCTACCCCACTTGACCTTTTAACATGGTTTATTGATTATCTTTGCTGGACACTTTTAGCCCGACGTTATCTTTTGCCCTGCCCTGTTAACCCCCAATGCCATAAATGTTTCAACAGCATCTGGTAAAGTAGCAGACAAAGTGATCATTGAGAACACCAGAGACTCAACATTTGTCTTCATGGAGGGCTCAGAGGATGCATACGTTGGCTACATGACCATCAAGGTGAGGTCTTATCCATTACTTATGTAATATAGGCCTAGCTGACTGTTGGTGTATGCCTGGACTCTACACTGGTCCTCATCATATTGTCATATTGACTCTGTACACTGGTCCTCATCATATTGTTATATTGACTCTGTACACTGGTCCTCATCATATTGTCATATTGACTCTGTACACTGGTCCTCATCATATTGTCATATTGACTCTGTACACTGGTCCTCATCATATTGTTATATTGACTCTGTACACTGGTCCTCATCATATTGTCATCATCATATTGTCATATTGACTCTGTACACTGGTCCTCATCATATTGTTATATTGACTCTGTACACTGGTCCTCATCATATTGTCATATTGACTCTGTACACTGGTCCTCATCATATTGTCATATTGACTCTGTACACTGGTCCTCATCATATTGTCATATTGACTCTGTACACTGGTCCTCATCATATTGACTCTGTACACTGGTCCTCATCATATTGACTCTGTACACTGGTCCTCATCATATTGTCATATTGACTCTGTACACTGGTCCTCATCAAACAAAGGGAAGTGTTGACATGATATCAGTTGTGGTTGTTAGTCATATGTTATGAATTACTCCTATCGTGGTCCTATGTAATAAACTAACCCCTTATGTTTGTCTGCCTCTAGTTTAATCCTGATGATAAGTCTGCCCAGCACCACAACGCCCACCACTGTCTGGAGATTACAGTCAACTGCAGCCCCATCATTGACCACTGCATCATACGCAGCACTTGCACAGGTACCTTACAACACAATGTCTCCATCTCTCCTCAGACCTACCTGCCTTTCACTAAGGGTAGGCTTAGCATCTCAGACCTACCTGCCTTTCACTAAAGGTAGGCTTAGCATCTCAGACCTACCTGCCTTTCACTAAGGGTAGGCTTAGCATCTCAGACCTACCTGCCTTTCACTAAGGGTAGGCTTAGCATCTCAGACCTACCTGCCTTTCACTAAGGGTAGGCTTAGCATCTCAGACCTACCTGCCTTTCACTAAGGGTAGGCTTAGCATCTCAGACCTACCTGCCTTTCACTAAGCGTAGGCTTAGCATCTCAGACCTACCTGCCTTTCACTAAGGGTAGTCTTAGCATCTCAGACCTACCTGCCTTTCACTAAGGGTAGGCTTAGCATCTCAGACCTACCTGCCTTTCACTAAGGGTAGGCTTAGCATCTCAGACCTACCTGCCTTTCACTAAGGGTAGGCTTAGCATCTCAGACCTACCTGCCTTTCACTAAGGGTAGGCTTAGCATCTCAGACCTACCTGCCTTTCACTAAGGGTAGGCTTAGCATCTCAGACCTACCTGCCTTTCACTAAGGGTAGGCTTAGCATCTCAGACCTACCTGCCTTTCACTAAGGGTAGGCTTAGCATCTCAGACCTACCTAGTGCAGTCTAATTATCATGACACCTAAATGTATTATAGTGATCATAGCTCATATGGCGCTTCTCTTAAAAATATTGCTGGAGCTATGCTAGGTATTTTGACAGTGTCTTCCACACATGGAATTGAGACAGTGGGTGGGTATCTGTCTGAGGAGTGTAGTGGATATACCGGGTTCCACCATGCTCACCTGGCTGGCTCTACACCTGTTGGTTTCAGTGGGCTCAGCGGTCTGTGTGAGCGGCCAGGGCGCTTGTCCCACCATCAAACATTGCAACATCAGCGACTGTGAGAACGTGGGGCTTTACATCACCGACCATGCACAGGTAGGTAACACACACACCGCTCTTTCCATATGGCACTTGATTCCTCAAATCATCCCATTTCCAAGATTGTGCTGTGAAACTCTGCCACTCCTTCTGCGTTCCCAGGGAATCTACGAGGACAATGAAATCTCCAACAACGCTCTGGCAGGGATCTGGGTGAAAAACCATGGCAACCCAATCATCAGACGGAACCACATCCACCACGGCAGAGACGTGGGTGTCTTTACCTTCGACCACGGCATGGTGAGATGACACTATTGGTCTGGTCTGACTACCACTGAGATGACACTATTGGTCTGGTCTGACTACCACTGAGATGACGCTCCATATTGGTCTGGTCTGGCTACCACTGAGATGACACTATTGGTCTGGTCTGGCTACCACTGAGATGACACTATTGGTCTGGTCTGACTACCACTGAGATGACACTATTGGTCTGGTCTGACTACCACTGAGATTACACTATTGGTCTGGTCTGGCTACCACTGAGATGACACTATTGGTCTGGTCTGGCTACCACTGAGATGACACTATTGGTCTGGTCTGACTACCACTGAGATGACACTATTGGTCTGGTCTGACTACCACTGAGATTACACTATTGGTCTGGTCTGACTACCACTGAGATGACACTATTGGTCTGGTCTGACTACCACTGAGATGACACTATTGGTCTGGTCTGACTACCACTGAGATGACACTATTGGTCTGGTCTGACTACCACTGAGATGACACTATTGGTCTGGTCTGACTACCACTGAGATGACACTATTGGTCTGGTCTGGCTACCACTGAGATGACACTATTGGTCTGGTCTGGCTACCACTGAGATGACACTATTGGTCTGGTCTGGCTACCACTGAGATGACACTATTGGTCTGGTCTGGCTACCACTGAGATGACACTATTGGTCTGGTCTGACTACCACTGAGATGACACTATTGGTCTGGTCTGACTACCACTGAGATGACACTATTGGTCTGGTCTGACTACCACTGAGATGACACTATTGGTCTGGTCTGGCTACCACTGAGATGACGCTCCATATTGGTCTGGTCTGGCTACCACTGAGATGACGCTCCATATTGGTCTGGTCTACAGTTGTGACTAGAGGCTTTCCTCCATGCCTTGCGTCCTCTTGCTTCCTTGTCAGTTGTATTGTAGGAGAATGTCCAAGGTCCCTCCCCTCTGACCTTCTTCTCCAATGTGTTTTGAGGAGCGTATGCAATGTAATGAGGAAAGAAGAATTGAGGAAGAACCTTGGTTTCTACTGTAGACACTCAGCTGGCTTATCAAACTGTCTTTCTGCTGTAAATACTCAGTCTGCAGCCATTCTTGTTCTTGAAGAGAAGTGTTGCCTTCCGGTTGAATCCGCCTTTAGGTTTTGAAGACCCACCACTGGTTTGAGTTACATAAACCTTCATCCAGAGCTTTTAAAAACAGGGAAATGTATTCCTACTCACACTAGCTTTTGGTTACACAAGACATCGGATTGAGGTCATTTTCTCAATAGGAAATAAACATTTTTTTAACAACTTGCTCTTCTCAACTGTATTATAGGAGAAGGTCCAAGGTTCCTTTCCTGTGACGTTCTTCTCCAATGCTTTTGAAAAGGAGGAGTGATGATCTGACGAATCGAGAGAAGATGACTTGAGAAATAGCCATGGTATTCTGATTTATTATTACTGACGTGACTCTGTCCTCCTGCAGGGCTACTTTGAGAGCTGCAACATCCACAGGAACCGCATAGCTGGCTTTGAGGTGAAGGCGTACGCCAACCCCACAGTGGTGCGCTGTGAGATCCACCACGGACAAACAGGAGGGATCTACGTGCACGAGAAGGGCCGAGGACAGTTCATCGAGAACAAGATCTATGCAAACAACTTTGCTGGCGTGTGGGTCACCTCCAACAGCGATCCTACAATAAGGTCAGTGGGGTTTCGGTCAAATACTTTCTCTCTCTCTCTTTCTTTGTCTCCGTCTTCCCTCCCTTTGTCCATTATGCATTATCCATATTAAGTTGAATTGATGCTGATGTGTAAGTGGATAGTCAATGGTGACATTTCTCCACATTGTGTCAATCACAGGGGTAACGCCATCTTCAACGGTAACCAGGGTGGCGTTTACATATTCGGTGACGGCCGAGGCCTCATCGAGGGGAATGATATCTACGGTAATGCCTTGGCAGGGATCCAGATCAGGACGAACAGCTGCCCTATCGTACGACACAATAAGATCCACGACGGACAGCACGGGGGCATCTATGTGGTAAGTAGACCTTTTTAGAACCTTTTTAAATGTGTATTTAAAGCACGTAATCACGTGTAGTACTTATGAAGCTTATAGCTGTGGTTTATCTGCAATCCTTGAGCATATTTAACCACTATTAGCCCACCATGTTAGGGTTTAAACAAACCTTGAAACAGTAGGCAGCGGACTGACAGAGGAGAAGGATGTTAGTAATGTAATTCGTGTCTCTCCCCTGTAGCACGAAAAGGGACAGGGGGTGATCGAGGAGAACGAGGTGTACAGCAACACGCTGGCAGGAGTCTGGGTGACCACCGGAAGCACACCTGTCCTCAGGAGGAACAGGATACACAGTGGGAAACAGGTATGGACATGGAGAGAGAAACCGCCCAAGAGAGAGAGACCAGTCTGTCTGTTCAGTTGGCTCTATGGGCCACTCATCTCCCACAGATGAATGAATGAATGAATGAGTGAAATTTGCCAATAATCTGCAAACTAAACACTCCCACCTCCCCTCTTGTCTTGTGGGTCATACAGGTTGGTGTTTACTTCTATGACAACGGCCATGGAGTGTTGGAGGACAATGATATCTACAACCACATGTACTCTGGAGTTCAAATCAGGTCAGTGAAAGGGTTAGAACTCAAAATGAATAGACAACCACACAATGGGATCAACTGACAACCACACAATGGGATCTACTGACAACCACACAATGGGATCTACTGACAACCACACAATGGGATCTACTGACAACCACACAATGGGATCTACTGACAACCACACAATGGGATCTACTGACAACCACACAATGGGATCTACTGACAACCACACAATGGGATCTACTGACAACCACCCTATGGGATCTACTGACAACCACCCTATGGGATCTACTGACAACCACACTATGGGATCTACTGACAACCTGTGTAAATAATGTAGTGCATGTTGCTGTTGTAATAAAATGCATTTCATGGATGATTTGTCACATTGCTATGCACTTTTGTGATACTATTGATTTTTAATTATATGCATTGATTGATTTGTTGGTTAATGTTTCCCACTGTAACAGAACTGGAAGCAATCCCAAAATCAGACGGAACAAGATCTGGGGAGGTCAAAATGGAGGTATTCTGGTTTACAACTCAGGTGAGAAACCAACTGTTGTTCTTTATCCATCCATTCTCCTCTCAGCTTGATGTTGTCTGGAGAGGGGTGAAGCAAGCACATCTTTTCTTCAGAAAGTGTACCTTTTCTACATGAAATTCATGATGCAGAACAGTGAAGACACCCTGGATTCACAGGTTCTGAGTGGAGTGACTCCATCAAATTCCTTTCACTCAAATGCTCCCTCATGAACTCTCTAACCATGATAAATGGAAGGGAGACCTCTTGGCTGATATCTTGACTCTGTTTCAGGTTTGGGCTTCATCGAAGACAATGAGATCTTTGACAACGCCATGGCAGGGGTGTGGATAAAGACGGACAGCAACCCCACCCTCCGGAGGAATAAGATCCACGACGGGAGAGACGGAGGGATCTGTATATTCAACGGAGGACGAGGTTTACTGGAGGAGAACGATATCTTCAGGAACGCCCAGGCAGGAGTCCTCATCAGCACCAACAGCCATCCCATCCTGAGGAAGAACAGGATATTTGACGGCTTCGCTGCAGGTGGGAAACGCTATGCTAGAAAGCAGGGTTCAGTCCAGGGTTGTGTTCATTAGGCACCATATGAAGGAAAGCAGACTGAAAGGGGGAGGGACTACCTGGATTGGTCCAATAAGAAATGCTCATTTTCTGTTGCAAAAATATATATTTTACCTTGTGTGCCTATTAAGTATGACCGAGCAGTATTTTGCTTTGAATCCTTGTGATTAATAGACAGTCATTGGTAAATGTTAACCCTATCAGTCACAAGACTCCAGACAAAAACGGCTTTTCATTTATCTGACTTTCATTTATCTGCATGTCCAGTATTTATATTTAGCCTCACAATTAAGTGTTTTATCATGTTCTTTTCAGGACGACCAGGTTGAAGTAGAACACAAAACAATTTCACATAAACCGTTGCATTCATGAGTTTTATTGACTATAAAAAAACAATGTCCTCTAAAGCAAAAACCTGATAAAAATGAATTCATATGAATGCTGTAAGTACAGAAATGGTTTGCTTCCTGGGAAATGAATGTCCAACTAGTCAGTGACAACTGTTTGGAGTTTGTGACAGCAACTATGTGAGTTAATTACAGTATTATAGACAATGTCCTGGAATTTCCTATGGTCTTCTATGTAGAAGAACCCCTTACCTTCTAACGACTCTTGTGTAGCTTGTTAGCGTCATAGAGCAAAACATTACGTTACATGTTCGTGAGAGTCCCAGCTTTTCATAGATGGCTTTAAATAGTTTGTGGCTCAAACCATTCAGAATCTACAGACGTTTTTGTAAAAAGACCCAGGATCCACCCTTGTCTCACAAACACAGCTCTAGTCAGCCCCCTTTAATCACACAGACTAATGGTTGGTACCAACGGATGCAGAAGAAATGGACGAATCCAAATGGTACAACCCAGATCCAATGGTGCAACCCAGTCTGTAGCTCAAACACACAATGTTTAAAAGGGGTTAGAAGTCCAAATCGTGCCAGCGTTGCGGTGGGTGGGACTCATTGGGTTAATTGAAGACAGAGTGGGGCCCAATCCCAAATGGACACGGTAATACACTACATGACCAAAAGTATGTGGACACCTGCTCGTCGAACATCTCATTCCAAAATCATGGGCATTAATATAATATTGTCCCCCCTTTGCTGCTATAACAGCCTCCACTCTTCTGGGAAGGCTTTCCACTAGATGTTGGAACATTGCCGCAGGGACTTGCTTCCATTCAGCCAGAAGAGCATTAGTGAGGTTGGGCACTGATGTTGGCCTGGCTCGCAGTCGGCGTTCCAATTCATCCCAAAGGTGTTCGATGGGGTTGGGTCAGGGCTCTGTGCAGGCCAGTCAAGTTCTTCCACACCGATCTCGACAAAACATTTCTGTATGGACCTTGCTTTGTACTCGGGGGCATTGTCATGCTGAAACAGGAAAGGGCCTTCCCCAAACTGTTGCCACAAAGTTGGAAGCACAGAATCGTCTAGAATGTCATTGTATGCTGTAGCGTTAAGATTTCCCTTCACTGGAACTAAGGGGCTTAGCCCGAACCATGAAAAACAGCCCCAGACCATTATTCCTCATCCACCAAACTTTACAGTTGGCACTATGCATTGGGGCAGGTAGCGTTCTCCTGGCATCCGCCAAACCCCAATTCGTCCGTCGGACTGCAAGATGGTGAAGCGTGATTCATCACTCCAGAGAACGCGTTTCCACTGCTTCAGAGTCCAATGTCGGCGAGCTTTACACCACTCCAGCCGATTTTTGGCATTGTGATCTTAGGCTTGTGTGCGGCTGCTCGGAAACCAATTTCATGACGCTTCCGACGAACAGTTATTGTGCTGACATTGCTTCCAGAGGCAGTTTGGATCTCGGTAGTGAGTGTTGCAACCGAGGACAGACGATTTTTACGCGTTTCAGCACTCGGCGGTCCCATTCTGTGAGCTTGTGTGGCCTACCACTTCACGGCTGAGCCGTTGTTGCTCCTAGACGTTTCCGCTTCACAATAACAGCACTTACAGTTGACCAGAGCAGAAATTTGACGAACTGACTTGTTGGAAAGGTGGCATCCTATGACGGTGCCATGTTGAAAGTCACTGAGCTCTTCAGTAAGGCCATTCTTCTGCCAATGTTTGTCTATGGAGATTGCATGGCTTTGTGCTCGATATACACCTGTCAGCAACGGGTGTGGCTGAAATAGCCACTAATTTGACGGGGTGTCCACATACTTTTGTGTATATATAGTGTATCTCCACCTTGTCCTCTGATAGGCTAGGTGGAAGTTTCACCATATTATACTAAGGAAATCCTCTCAGATGCTGATCCTGACCAGTTTGTCTCTGTTTCTCTGTCCACCAGGTATTGAGATCACCAATCATGCCACGGCAACCCTGGAGGGCAATCAGATCTTCAACAACCGCTTTGGAGGGTTGTTTCTCGCATCGGGTGTCAACGTTACAATGAAAGGTAAACGAGAACGTGTTGTTTTATTACTGGAATCTAACATTGTAGGAACTACATATGGTCAGTCTCTTTGGCAAAATGATGGTTTTGAATTCTCTTAAATTGCCTCTTCTTGACTTTTTCTTATCTGTACATGGTCTGATCCACCCTCCCCCCGTATCCCCACCCAGATAACAAAATAATGAACAATCAAGATGCCATTGAAAAAGCTGTGAGCAGAGGTCAGTGCCTGTACAAGATTTCCAGTTACACCAGCTATCCAATGCACGATTTTTACAGGTAATAATTTCTTACCCTGTGTGTGTATAGATATCTCTACACATATCTGGATATATAGAGAGATGGAGAAAGATCTCTACACATATCTGGATATATAGAGAGAGATCTCTACACATATCTGGATATATAGATAGATAGAGGGAAGCGATAGAGATCTTCATCCAGTGGAATATTCCAGAAAGCAGGATTATGAAGTTAGTCAACAAACTTTGATAAACAGCCACATATAACTCTTGATTTTCTGGTTTATTGACAATGCTACTTTTGTCAATTTTAAGTCTGTATTTCTCAAAAAGATAGTTATTTTAAGCAATGTTGGACTCATTGATCCATCTTTGTGGAACAGGCCCCATCTGTCCACTTTAATGGATGTAACTCATTTGGCTTGTCACCTGTTTCTTTGTTCTGTCCCTCCGTGTGGTCAGGTGTCACACCTGTAACACAACAGACCGCAACGCCATCTGTGTGAACTGCATCAAGAAGTGCCACCAGGGGCACGACGTTGAGTTCATTAGGCATGATAGGTACGTTAACTGTTCTGTTTAATGTCTTTGTAATGAGACACATTCTATTACAGCGATACTTAATGTTAAATTCCTTTTAATTATATCTGGTTTTATATTGCACAATCATGTGCAGAACCTCTCCTGTGCCAAATGATATCTCACATTCAAATCAGTTTGTCTGTGTTCAGTAATTGACTTTAAGAAATGTGAGAAATTTGAAGAGCTGGCTGGAGATATCATGTGCTAGTATTTCAGTGGCTACTTGATCAGTTGGTATTTCCTCCCGGTCTTCCACTTCAGTCATTTTCAATATAATATTATTTATATTTTGTCTTGGCTGTAGATTTTTCTGTGACTGTGGAGCCGGAACATTGTCAAACCCCTGCACGCTAGCCGGAGAGCCCACGCACGACACGGACACACTGTACGACTCCGCCCCTCCTATAGAATCCAATACGCTGCAACACAACTGAGCTGGACCTCCCCCCTCCGGACCCTTCCAGGCCTATTCCCTATATAGTGCACTACTTTTGACTAGGACCCTATGCTGGCCAGGTCAACAGTAGTCCACTATGTAGGGAATAGGGTGCCATTTTGGACAGACACAGAGACTCCTCTTTGTTCAGCTAACTAGTCCACCCATGCATGGGAAGAAGGAAAAATACAATACAAACTGTTATATTTCAATTGTTTCACACATGAAAATATGTAAAAATGGATGTTGTGATGGACAAAGATGAGCTGAAAGGAGACATTTATATACAGAAAAAAATTCTGCTGTGGATGCACCGCCCGTGCCGCTCCCCCCCCCCCCGTTCTCCTTCCCAGCAACGTATTGGAGGAGAGGACCTGGTCGAAAGTAGTGCCCTATGAAGGAAATAGGATGCCATTTCGGACTCACACAGAGAGAGACTGAGGTTGAAGGAGAATTAATGGGAAGCATTGCAGTTTTATAACGGAGCTTTGGAGAGATGGACGGACGCTAGCCATCTTCATGCCCCCCCCCCCCCCCCCCCCCCGAGCGAAGTGGTCAAGTCAGACAGTGGCAGGACGGCACAGCAACGCTCACAGAGACATAAATGGAACCAGAACCTCGCCACACACTGCCTCTGTCTCCAGGCTACAAGCCGACGTTACGCTGGTATGCCTGTATGGATACAAGAGATGAAAAACAAATGACCTAGCACTTCGGCTTTTAATTTTTTGGGTGAAAAAAATGATTTTGATTTTAAATGCTTTTTTTCCTGTAGCTTTGTATTTTCATGCAAAAATGTTACTGTACTTGAATGTCTTATTTTATTAAATATAGTTTTTTTTGGTTATTCAACCCTAGACTTGCTGTAAGTGTACTCATGTCGCAGTATCTACTTTCTTTCTGTGAAAGAGAACAAAAAAAACATTTTCTCCAGCAATGTTGACTTTTAAATGTGAGACTTTTTAGAATTGATCTAGAACTGGTTGTGGCTGTTTCTATTCGTTTTGAGTCTGAACACCTTTTCTTTTTGTCTGCAATATGGAGTTCAAGGAGCCATAAATGCTTCTCTACAGATTTCCTATTATTTGGACCATACTGCAGGTAAATCTCAAAAGTATAAGCACTGGATTCCATTCGTATCGTGGAAAATCTGCGCTAAATTTTAAGGTAATTTCCGATTGAGCTGACATATGCAGCTTTTACTGTGAATGCAGTCTCTGAATGTGGGAACATTGCCTTTTAATCGATCTATATCACAGATCTTCCGCGATACGGATTGAACTCACAGCTGTCTTCAGTTAGGCTGCAAGGGACAGGCTGTCCTGGGGAATGTGGTGCTTTCCTAGTCTGGTCCCAGATCTGTTTCTCAGGAGTTGTCAACGCCACACGAACAGATCTGGGACCAGGCTAGAGAAAATATTCACTGGGGAGTGAAACATTGCTGGATATTTTTTTTTTTAAAGTAACGCTACAGCTCTACTGACGTAGACATTAAGTATCCACACAGCGGTAAATGGTTTATTATGTTCCCCTCCACCCCATCCATGTGTATTGGTGACTGTGGGCTCTCAAACAGCCTGAATTGTATGCATGTACCATAACATCCAGACTTAATATATTGTGGAGTATTGAATAACCATTATGTAGATGCTAGTGAATTAAAGGGGTTTAATTTCCTAGATAGAGGAAACTGGTCATTTAAAAAAAATAAACTTTATTAGATGATAATACATTAGTGCTTTATTGTGGGAAGACAAAGAAGGAAAGCGGTGTTTTCAGGGATGGGAGAGATTTTGAATGAATACAGCTGACACCATTCTGACAACACATTTATCTGAACGTTTTGTAAAGTTATGTCCTAAACAGGCCCCATCAACGAAACAGAGCATCTTCACAGGTTGCCGATCACCCGGACCAGCAAGGCAAACTGTGTGCCGACTGCTTTGGGGTCTTCAGCATACAAACACAGCTTCCTGTGGAGCCAAAAAAAAGGGACAATAACCAAATGAGTTATGACAGATCAACACCATTTATCAATTAAATTGGTTCTCCTATACATCATCTGTGCAATAGAGATGTCAGCATGGTGCTTGCAACGCCAGGGTTGTGGGTTCGTTTCCCACGGGGGGCCAGTATGGAAAATGTATGCACTCACTAACTGTAAGTCGCTCTGGATAAGAGCGGCTGCGAAATGACTTAAATGTCGACACCCAGGAAGCATGCAGATTCAAACTCCTATTAGAAAGGGGGATACCTAGTCAGTTGTACAACTGAATGCATTCAACCCAACCCCTCTGAATCAGAGAGGTGCGGGGGGCTGCCTTAATCCTTGCTCAGGGGCAGAACAGCTCAGCAAGTGTAAAAATACAGTGTACAAAAACCTTTAAGGACACCTGCTCCTTCCATGACAGACTGACCAGATGAAAGCTACGATCGTTTGTCACCTGTTAAATCCACTTCAATCAGTAGATGAAGGGGAGGACAGGTTAAAGAACGATTTTTACACCTTGAGACATGGATTGTGTATGTGTGCCATTCAGAGGGTGAATGGTTAAGAAAATGTTTAAGTGCCTTTGAACGGAGTATGGTAGTAGGTACCAGGCGCATCGGTTTGTGTTATGAACTGCAACGCTGCTGAGTTTCACGTTCCACAGTTTCCCGTGTGTATCAAGAATAGTCCATGACTATGTGGGTAGCATTGGAGTCAACATGAGCCAGCATCCCTGTGGAACGCTTTCGACACCTTGAGAATCCATGTCCCGATGAATTGAGGCTGTTCTGAAGGCAAAAAAGGGGGGGGGGGGTGCAACTCAATATTAGGAAGGTATTAATGTTTGGTATACTCTGTACGTTCGTTACATCAAATATGGAGTTTAGCTGAGCAACTATCGTCATTACTCCTGTTACGGCCTTCCAAAAAAGGTCTAAAATAGACATTTACAAGCAACCGAAAAAAAATCATTTTTGGCACCTCCAATGTATTGTGCAGTCGTAGACATGTGCATGGCCGTAATGAGTGAGTTACATTGGGAGGTGCCAAATAGCCATATTCTCGGTTGCTTGTAAATTTCGATTTAAACTTTTTTAAGTACAACTCAATTGTAGGCCGTAACGGGAGTAAAAGATAGCTCAGCTAAACTCCATATTTGGTGAGTAACGGACATTTTGACATAACGCTTGCAGAGCTGTCTAATGCAGACCTGCCACCCTTATAATTTCTGTGAGTATCACTTCAGCGTGGCAGCATGCATGCGATACCCACACTGCTCAAATCATAGGCAAATGCTATGAAAAAAGACTGCCTCCGTAGGAAGGGTAGGCTATAGACTTATGGGTACTTGGTAATTGGCTTCTCTTCAGTAGCTAACTACAAACAAGTTTAAATGTACAATCAGGGCTCTCTCTCTCCCTTGGACTTTCTGACAAGGCAGTGCTGATGTAGGCTTAAGGTTGGGTAGGGGGGAGATCCAGAGGGGGGTCAGTCAACTTCCCCTCAGGAAGTTGGAGCATTTTTGAAAAACATGTAACTGCCATTTCCAGAAACCTAGTCTCAACTGATATCAAACAATGTAGCCAACACAGAAGTCTGGTGTTTGATCCTAGGTCAAATTTAGGGGTAATGATAATTGTAATTAATAGTGTCTTTATGTGGATAGTCTAGTGAAAATATAAACTGGCTTCATTTTGTTGGGGAGAAAATTCAGAATAATTCAATTACTGGATGCTATGGAATATAAAACAAGTGAATTAGGCATATGAGATTGTTTCAGATCTCCATCCCTGACCTTATTCATCAAGTTAGGTCTGACTACCATTCATTCAACATGCCTTGTCATTGGTGAACTGACTTGCAGGCTACTGTTGACATACAGCTACAGAAAGTATTCAGACCCCTTGGATTTAATTTTGTGGGATTAAAATGTGTAAAGTTAAAATAAAATAAACCTACACAAAATACTGTCATGTCAAAGTAGAAGAATAGTGTGAATAAAAAAAAAAATATTTTTACAAATTAAATAAATATAGTCGTTGCATTATTGAGCTCCCTGAGGCAATACATTTTAGAAACACATTTGGCATGGATTACAGCTGTGAGTCTTCTTGGTTAAATCTATAAGAGCTTTGCACACCTGGATTGTGCAATATTTGACCATTCTTTTAAATTCTTCAAGCTCTATCAAGATGTTGGATCATTGCTAGACAGCAATTTTCAAGTCTTGCCATAGATTTTCAAGCAGATTTAAGTAAAAACTAACTTGGCCACTCAGGAACATTCACTGTCTTCTTGGTAAGCAACTCCAGTGTAGATTTGGCCTTGTGTTTTATGTTATTGTCCTGCTGAAAAGTTAATTCCTTTCCCAGTGTCTGTTGAAACGTAGACTGAAGCAGGTTTTCCTCTAGGAGTTTCTGTGCTTAGCTCCATCCCATTTATTTTTTATCCTGAAAAACTCCCCAGTATTTGCCGATGTCGAGCATACCCATACCATGATGCAGCCACCACCATGCTTGAAAATAAAGAGGCAGTTACATTTTAGTCATTTAGCAGACGCTCTTATCCAGAACGACTTACAGTTACTCAGTGACGTGTTGTGTTTGCCCCAAAAATACTTTAGTGCCTTGTTGCATACAGGATGCATGTTTTGGAATAATTATTGTGGAGTCACTACAATGTTGTTGATCCATCCTCAGTTCTCTCCCATCACAGCCATTGAACTCTGTAGCTGTTTTAAAATCACCAATGGCCTCATGGTGACATCTCTGTGCAGTTTAATTCCTGATTAATTAACATAGGCCTACTAATCTTTAACAGTGCAACATAACTTTTTGTGAAGGACAGTATTAGTGGAACAGCTCTCTGCCATGTCTGTTTCTATTCACACAGCGATGCGCTCTGAACTACCACGTCAATGCGCTCTTATACCGTTGCAGAGATCAAAGCATGTAAGGGCAAGAAAGTGTTCCAGTTGACTAAATGCTGTAGCTAACAACCGTCGTAATGACACATACTTGAAGACTGTAGTTACATGTAGTAGTATATCTCCCTACGAGTCTTCAAGTATGTGTTATACTGTAGTTACATGTAGTAGTGTAACAGATATTTGAAGACAGATGTAACTGCAGTATAACACATACTTGAAGACTTGTATGGAGATGGTGCTCCTCGGCCTTCTTGTGGCCTAATTGGATAACCTCCTCAGGCAGGTTGGCGAGGGGCATTGAAACCGTAGCTTTTAGGACACGCCCCCGTGATGAACTTATACAGGAAGGTGATGGTCTCCTGGCTAGGGTCCTCATCTCCCTCATTCTCCACCATACAGGCCTGGGAGAGGCAGTGTGATTGGTTGATTAAATTGTGATTATTTGACGGAGAGCTGAAGTAAAGTGGACATTCTTAGGCTGCATTTACACAGGCGCCCAATTCTGATCTTTTGCCCAATTATTTGTTAAAGATCTGATCCGATTGAGCAGAATTGGTCTACCTGTGTAAACAGCCTAACTGATGTCCAGCTGTATAAAACCCAAAAGAAGGCACAGTACTGTCATTGAATTGTTATGTCTGTGTACGGTGTGGATGGTGTGGACGGTGTGGATGTCGGAACAAGCTCCATTCAAGGGCAACAAGGGGTTGTGGGTGTCTCCTCACCATGTGTCCGAGCTGTACAGCAGGATTGTTGGTGTAGTCCTCCACTAGAGAGTGGTAGTGTGTAGAGAACAGGGTCCGACAGCAGATCCTCTCTGCCAGCTCCTTCATCACAGCACTGGCTATCGCTGTGCCCCTGCCTAAAACACAACCAAATCGATCAGTTTCTCTCTCACTTACACTTTATGGGCAGACCCAGATGAAGCCTCAGAGAACCTCCATTAAGTTACTCCAGAAGTAGACTGAAACTGGCCAACAGCCAACCAGCTATAAAGAGACGTGTTCTTGTAGTAGCCACAACATGTTAAACTGAAAAAAAAGAGAATAGATAGTAAGTGTTTACCCAGTTCATCCAGCAGCACCAGGGAGTGCTTGGTCCCATGGTGGAGGATACTAGCTGTCTCACTAAGCTCTACAAAGAAGGTGCGTTCTCCTGGAGAACACAACACATTACATTACACAGGCTATGGTTAGATCCAGTTTAGTTTGGGAGGAACTCAGAGTCTAAAAGCCCTGGGGGGGTACTACTAAGCTATATGGAATTGTTTTAAGGTCATACAAAGGATCATTTAGCTATTTGATTTAGAATTTTATGACCCCTTCAAGTATCAGAAAATATATACAAAAATGTAATAAAAAATATTTTTGGCCTTACTGCTATTAGCCCATAAAAACACATTGAATAACAGATTCACTACAGGAACAGATAGTCCCCCTCAAAAAAATTCAAAGGAAATTTGTTCTGAAGTGTCTGTCCTATATCAGAGATATAAGAGAGATCAAGAAGGATTGATTATATAAAATTGATTTGCATTTTAATGAGGGAAATAAGTATTTGACCCCCTCTCAATCAGAAAGATTTCTGGCTCCCAGGTGTCTTTTATACAGGTAACGAGCTGAGATTAGGAGCACACTCTTAAAAGGGAGTGCTCCTAATCTCAGTTTGTTACCTGTATAAAAGACACCTGTCCACAGAAGCAATCAATCAATCAATCAGATTCCAAACTCTCCACCATGGCCAAGACCAAAGAGCTCTCCAAGGATGTCAGGGACAAGATTGTAGACATACACAAGGCTGGAATGGGCTACAAGACCATCGCCAAGCAGCTTGGTGAGAAGGTGACAACAGTTGGTGCGATTATTCGCAAATGGAAGAAACACAAAAGAACTGTCAATCTCCCTCGGCCTGGGGCTCCATGCAAGATCTCACCTCGTGGAGTTGCAATGATCATGAGAACGGTGAGGAATCAGCCCAGAACTACACGGGAGGATCTTGTCAATGATCTCAAGGCAGCTGGGACCATAGTCACCAAGAAAATAATTGGTAACACACTACGCTGTGAAGGACTGAAATCCTGCAGCGCCCGCAAGGTCCCCCTGCTACAGAAAGCACATACACAGGCCCGTCTGAAGTTTGCCAATGAACATCTGAATGATTCAGAGGAGAACTGGGTGAAAGTGTTGTGGTCAGATGAGACCAAAATCGAGCTCTTTGGCATCAACTCAACTCGCCGTGTTTGGAGGAGGAGGAATGATGCCTATGATCCCAAGAACACCATCCCCACCGTCAAACATGGAGGTGGAGACATTATGCTTTGGGGGTGTTTTTCTGCTAAGGGGACAGGACAACTTCACCGCATCAAAGGGACGATGGACGGCGCCATTACCCTCAAATCTTGGGTGAGAACCTCCTTCCCTCAGCCAGGGCATTGAAAATGGGTCGTGGATGGGTATTCCAGCATGACAATGACCCAAAACACACGGCCAAGGCAACAAAGGAGTGGCTGAAGAAGAAGCACATTAAGGTCCTGGAGTGGCCTAGCCAGTCTCCAGACCTTAATCCCATAGAAAATCTGTGGAGGGAGCTGAAGGTTCGAGTTGCCAAATGTCAGGCTCGAAACCTTAAATGACTTGGAGAAGATCTGCAAAGAGTGGGACAAAATCCCTCCTGAGATGTGTGCAAACCTGGTGGCCAACTACAAGAAACGTCTGACCTCTGATTGCCAACAAGGGTTTTGCCACCAAGTACTAAGTCATGTTTTGCAGAGGGGTCAAATACTTATTTCCCTCATTAAAATGCTAATCAATTTATAACATTTGACATGTGTTTTTCTTGATTTTTTTGTTGTTATTCTGTCTCTCACTGTTCAAATAAACCTACCATTAAAATTATAGACTGATCATGTCTTTGTCAGTGGGCAAACATACAAAATCAGCAGGAGATCAAATACTTTTTTCCCTCACTGTAAGTGTCACATGATCTCAGTATACAGTGGGGAGAACAAGTATTTGATACACTGCCGATTTTGCAGGTTTTCCTACTTACAAAGCATGTTGAGGTCTAATATTTATCATAGGTACACTTCAACTGTGAGAGACGGAATCTAAAACAAAAATCCAGAAAATCACATTGTATGATTTTTAAGTAATTAATTTGCATTTTATTGCATGACATAAGTATTTGATCACCTACCAACCAGTAAGAATTCTGGCTCTCACAGACCTGTTAGTTTTTCTTTAAGAAGCTCTCCTGTTCTCCACTCATTACCTGTATTAACTGCACCTGTTTGAACTCGTTACCTGTATAAAAGACACCTGTCCACACACTCAATCAAACAGACTCCAACCTCTCCACAATGGCCAAGACCAGAGAGCTGTGTAAGGACATCAGGGATAAAATTGTAGACCTGCACAAGGCTGGGATGGGCTACAGGACAATAGGCAAGCAGCTTGGTGAGAAGGCAACAACTGTTGGCGCTATTATTAGAAAATGGAAGAAGTTCAAGATGACGGTCAATCACCCTCGATCTGGGGCTCCATGCAAGATCTCACCTCGTGGGGCATCAATGATCATGAGGAAGGTGTGGGATCAGCCCAGAACTACACGGCAGAACCTGGTCAATGACCTGAAGAGAGCTGGGACCACAGTCTCAAAGAAAACCATTAGTAACACACTACACCGTCATGGATTAAAATCCTGCAGCGCACGCAAGGTCCCCCTGCTCAAGCCAGCCCATGTCCAAGCCCGTCTGATGTTTGCCAATGACCATCTGGATGATCCAGAGGAGGAATGGGAGAAGGTCATGTGGTCTGATGAGACAAAAATAGAGCTTTTTGGTCTAAACTCCACTCGCCGTGTTTGGAGGTAGAAGAAGGATGAGTACAACCCCAAGAACACCATCCCAACCGTGAAGCATGGAGGTGGAAACATAATTCTTTGGGGATGCTTTTCTGCAAAGGGGACAGGACGACTGCACCGTATTGAGGGGAGGATGGATGGGGCCATGTATCGCGAGATCTTGGCCAACAACCTCCTTCCCTCAGTAAGAGCATTGAAGATGGGTCGTGGCTGGGTCTTCCAGCATGACAACGACCCGAAACACAGAGCCAGGGCAACTAAGGAGTGGCTCCGTAAGAAGCATCTCAAGGTCCTGGAGTGGCCTAGCCAGTCTCCAGACCTGAACCCAATAGAAAATCTTTGGAGGGAGCTGAAAGTCCGTATTGCCCAGCAACAGCCCCGAAACCTGAAGGATCTGGAGAAGGTCTGTATGGAGGAGTGGGTCAAAATCCCTGCTGCAGTGTGTGCAAACCTGGTCAAGACCTACAGGAAACGTATGATCTCTGTAATTGCAAACAAAGGTTTCTGTACCAAATATTAAGTTCTGCTTTTCTGATGTATCAAATACTTATGTCATGCAATAAAATGCAAATTAATTACTTAAAAATCATACAATGTGATTTTCTGGATTTTTGTTTTAGATTCCTTCTCTCACAGTTGAAGTGTACCTATGATAAAAATTACAGAACTCTACATGCTTTGTAAGTAGGAAAACCTGCAAAATCGGCAGTGTATCAAATACTTGTTCTCCCCACTGTATATATACATATACATATACATAAATACACCTGTTCTGAAAGGCCCCAGAGTCTGCAACACCACTAAGCAAGGGGCACCACCAAGCAAGCGGCACCATGAAAACCAAGGAGCTCTCCAAACAGGTCAGGGACAAAGTTGTGGAGAACTACAGATCAGGGTTAGGTTATAAAAAAATATCTGAAACTTTGAACATCCCACGGAGCACCATTAAATCCACACGGCACCACAACAAACCTGCCAAGAGAGGGCCGCCCACCAAAACTGACGGACCAGGCAAGGAGGGCATTAATCAGAGAGGCAACAAAGAGACCAAAGATAACCCTGAAGGAGCTGCAAAGCTCCACAGCGGAGATTGGAGTATCTGTTCATAGGACCACTTTAAGCCGTACACGCCAGAGCTGGGCTTTACGGAAGAGTGGCCAGAAAAAAAGCCATTGCTTAAAGAAAAGAATAAGCTAACACGTTTGGTGTTTGCCAAAAGGCATGTGGGAGACTCCCCAAACATATGGAAGAAGGTACTCTGGTCAGATGACTAAAATTGGCCATCAAGGAAAACGCTATGTCTGGCGCAAACCCAACACCTCATCACGCCGAGAACACCATCCCCACAGTGAAGCATGGTGGTGGCAGCATCATGCTGTGGGGATGTTTTTCCACCGCAGGGACTGGGAAACTGGTCAGAATTGAAGGAATTATGGATGGCGCTAAATACAGGGAAATTCTTACATTTAACATTTTAGTCATTTAGCAGATGCTCTTATCCAGAGCGACTTACAGTTAGTGAGTGCATACATTTTTCATACTGGCCCCCCGTGGGAATCGAACCCACAACCCTGGAGTTGCTTTAGCATACTGCTAAAGCAACACTCGAATGGTTTAAGGGGAAACATTTAAATGTCTTGGAATGGCCTAGTCAAAGCCCAGACCTCAATCCAATTGAGAATATGTGGTATGACTTAAAGATTGCGGTACACCAGCGGAACCCATCCAACTTGAAGGAGCTGAAGCAGTTTTGCCTTGAAGAATGGGTAAAATTCCCAGTGGCTAGACGTGCCAAGCTTATAGAGACATACCCCAAGAGACTTGCAGCTGTAATTGCTGCAAAAGGTGGCTCTACAAAGTATTGACTTCGGGGGGGGTGAATAGTTATGCACGCTTAAAGAGGGAAGAAGGTTCTCACCCAAGATTTGACGGTACATGGCCCCGTCCATCATCCCTTTGATGCGGTGAAGTTGTCCTGTCCCCTTAGCAGAAAAACACCCCCAAAGCATAATATTTCCACCTCGATGTTTGACGGTGGGGATGGTGTTCTTGGGGTCATAGGCAGCATTCCTCCTCCTCCAAACACGGCGAGTTGAGTTGATGCCAAAGAGCTCGATTTTGGTCTCATCTGACCACAACACTTTCACCCAGTTCTCCTCTGAATCATTCAGATGTTCATTGGCAAGCAGGGTTTCAGTCCTTCACGGCGTAGTGTGTTACCAATTGTTTTCTTGGTGACTATGGTCCCAGCTGCCTTGAGATCATTGACAAGATCCTCCTGTGTAGTTCTGGGCTGATTCCTCACCATTCTCATGATCATTGCAACTCCACGAGGTGAGATCTTGCATGTAGCCCCAGGCCGAGGGAGATTGACAGTTATTTTGTGTTTCTTCCATTTGCGAATAATCGCACCAACTGTTGTCACCTTCTCACCAAGCTGCTTGCCGATGGTCTTGTAGCCCATTCCAGCCTTGTGTAGGTCTACAATCTTGTCCCTGACATCCTTGGAGAGCTCTTTGGTCTTGGCCATGGTGGCGAGTTTGGAATCTGATTGATTGATTGCTTCTGTGGACAGGCGTATTTTATACAGGTAACAAACTGAGTTTAGGAGCACTCCCTTTAAGAGTGTGCTCTAATCTCAGCTCGTTACCTGTATAAAAAGACACCTGGGAGGCCTATGTACGCCTATGTAGACATTCCATTAAAATTCAGCCGTTTCCAGCTACAATAGCCATTTACAACATTAACAATGTCTCCACTGTATTTCTGATCAATTTTATGTTATTTTAAATGGACAAAAAAAAATGCTTTTCTTTCAAAAACAAGGACATTTCTAAGTGACCCCAAACTTTTGAACGGTAGTGTGTGTGTGTGTATATATATATATATATACACACACACACACACACACACATATACACACACACACTACATGACCAAACGTATGTGGACACCTGCTCGTCAAACATCTCATTCCAAAATCATGGACATTAATATGGAGTTGGTCCCCCCTTTGCTGCTATAACAGCCTTGACTCTTCTGGAAAGGTTTTCCACTAGATGTTGGAACATTGCCGTGGGGATTTGCTTCCATTCATCCAAAAGAGCATTAGTGAGGTCGGGCACTGATGTTGGGCTATTAGGCCTGGCTCGCAGTCGGTGTTGCAATTCATCCCAAGGGTGTTCGGTGGGGTTGAGGTCAGGGCTCTGTGCAGGCCAGTCAAGTTCTTCCACACCGATTTTGACAAACCATTTCTGTATGGACCTCACTTTGTGCATGGGGGCATTGTCATGCTGAAACAGGAAAGGGCCTTCCCCAAACTGTTGGAAGCACAGAATCGTCAAGTTGCATCCTGTAGCGTTGAGATTTCCCTTCACTGGAACTAAGGGTCCTAGCCCGAACCATGAAAAACAGCCCCAGACCATTATTCCTCCTCCACCAAACTTTACAGTTGGCAATATGCATTTTGGGCAGGTAGTGTTCTCCTGGCATCCGCCAAACCCAGATTCGTCCATCAGACTGCCAGATGGTGACGCGTGATTCATCACTCCAGAGAACACGAGTCCAATGGCGGCAAGCTTTACACCACTCCAGCTGACGCTTGGCATTGCGCATAGTGATCTTAGGCTTGTGTGCAGCTACTTGTACATGGAAGCCCATTTCATGAAGCTCCTGACGAACAGTTAATGTGCTGACATTGCTTCCAGAGGCAGTTTAGAACTCGGTAGTGAGTGTTGCAACCGAGGACAGATTATTTTTACGCGCTTCAGCACTCGGCAGTCCCGTTCTGTGAGCTTGTGTGGCCTACCATTTTGTGGCTGAGCCGTTGTTGCTCCTAGACGTTTCCACTTCACAATAACAGCACATACAGTTGACCGGAGAAGCTCTAGAGGGGCAGACATTTGATGAACTGACAGGTTGGAAAGGTGGCATCCTATGACGGTGCCACATTGAAAGCCATTCTACTGCCAAAGTTTGTCTATGGAGATTGCATGGCGGTGTGCTCGATTTTATACACTTGTCAGCAATGGATGAAATAGCCAAATCCACATACTTTTGGGGTCTGAATACTTGGGGAAGTATTCAGACCCCTTTACTTTTGTTACGTTAGTCTTATTCTAAATGGATGAAATTATATTTTTCCCTCATCAACCTACACAGAATACCCCATAATGACAGGTGTAGACATTTTTGCACATTTATTACAAATTAAAAAAACTGAAATACCTTATTTACATAAGTATTCAGACCCTTTGCTATGAGAAATTGAGCTCAGGTGCATCCTCTTTCCATTGATCATCCTTGATCATCCTCTACAACTTGATTGGAGTCCACCTGTGGTAAATTCAATTGATTGGACATGATTTGAAAAAGGCACACACCTGTCTATATAAGGTCAAATGAATTGTCCGTAGAGCTCCGAGATATGATTATGTCGAGGCACAGATCTGGGGAAGGGTACCTAAAAATGTCTGCAGCGTTGAAGGTCCCCAAGAACACAGTGGCCTCCATCATTCTTAAATGGAAGACATTTGGAACCACCAATACTCTTCCTAGAGCTGGCCGCCCGGCAAAACTGAGCAATCGGGGGAGAAGGGCATTGGTCAGGGAGGTGACCAAGAACCCGATGGTCACGGACAGAGCTCCAGAGTTCCTCTGTGGAGATGGGAGAACCTTCCAGAAGGACAACCATCTCTGCAGCACCACCAATCAGGCCTTTATGGTAGAGTGGCCAGATGGAAGCCACACCACAGTAAAAGGCACGACAACCCGCTTGGAGTTTGCCAAAAGGCACCTAAAGGACTCAGACCATGAGAAACAAGATTCTCTTGTCTGATGAAACCAAGATTGAACTCTTTGGCCTGAATACCAAGCGTCACGTCTGGCGGAAACCTGGCACCATCCCTACAGCGAAGCATGGTGGTGGCAGCATCATGCTGTGGGGATGTTTTTCAGTGGCAGTGACTGGAAGACTAGTCAGGATGGAGGGAAAGATGAACAGAGCAAAGTACAGAGAGATCCTTGATGAAAACCTGCTCCAGAGTGCTCAGGACCTCAGACTGGGGCGAGAATCTGCAGAGAAGAATGGGAGAAACTCCCCAAATACAGGTGTGCCAAGCATGTAGCGTCATACCCAAGAAGACTCGATGCTGTAATTGGTGCCAAAGGTGCTTCAACAAAGTACTGCGTAAATGGTCTGAATACTTATGTAAATGTAATATTTCTGTTTTTGTATTTTCTTTAAATAATTTTGAAAAAATTTCTAAAAACCTGTTTTTCCTTTATCATTATGGGGTATTGTGTGTAGATTGATGGAGGGGGGGAAAAGCATTTGATCCATTTTAGAATAAGGCTGTAACGTAACAATGTGGGAAAGGTCAAGGGGTCTGAATACTTTCCAAATGCACTGTATAGTGTACTTCCATTCATTTTTTCAACTGGTACAGGAGACCATCAGATGAGTCTTGCGAGGCCTGTGGGCATCCTAGAGCAAAACAAAGTGTTTGTGAGAGTCTCACCTTTCCAGAGGGGCCATATTAGTGTGTAGCCCAAACTGTTCAGACGCTACAGACAGAAGTTGGCAGATCGGCTGGACCGAATTCAGACCAGTCCCAAGATGCTTGCGGGGGTCATAGAGAAAAACGGAGAACACCATCATGTTCGTGAGAGTCATCTTTCCATAGAGGTTGTGAGAAGACCGATTTTCGGGATGTCTCATGGTCTGACAAACACCGCTCTAGCTGTCACCTCTCACCACAGATGTGGAAGTGCGACATCGGCAGATGGGGTGGATTGAGATGCATCCAATGCAAAAAAACATCTCTAGCTTAAACTGACAGATCATTATGGGGATATTTTTATTATGCTAATTAATATTCTAATTGGGGGTTAAGGAGCTCCTGAGACTCAGGGAAAACACTTGTTCTGTATCCCAATTCCCTTATGCCCTAAGGGCCCGATTCAGACTTGAAATAAGCTGACTTAACATGGACTTAAGGCAAACATTACCGACTTAAGTCAGTTTTATTGACTCTACTTATCTCAAGTCTGAATCGGGCCCTAAGTATTCACCTTATCACTTAAATTCATGGTTTTAATAGGAAAGAAATGGTGGAAATTCCCACTACTTCATGTTTACACCAATCAAATACTTTTAAATGCATGGGGAGGAGTGCACACTTCAGGAGAATTGGGACGCACACATTGACTTGCTGGGGATTGGGATATAAGTCCTTACCAGCCATGATACGGTCTGATGCGCCCAGCCTGGTGAAGATTCTGTCCACAGGAGTGAATGACAGGCTCTCAGCAGGAACATAACAACCCAACTGGGCCAGAATCACCACCAGACCACACTGCAGGAGGAGGACAGAACAAGTAGAGAGTGAAATGCATGTAAGGACAAAGTAGGCAGGAGAACTAGAAATCAACGTTGTCATTTTTGCATCTCATATAAAGCCAACATCTACAGAAGTACAAAAACACAGGATCAACGGTTGAACTAGCAAAATACAACTGCTAGGCTTGGGCAGTATACCGTATACCAGGGTATTTGGAAATAGCCACAGGATGGTTTTTCCAATGCCGTCAATACCATTGGAACTATTTATTTTGAATATTTGTAGCTACTTTAAGTAAATACCTGCAGGCAACTTGTGCAATACATTAGGAGATAAAGCAGATTGCCTTCATTTCACCTGTCACATTATGAAGCTTACCAGTAGTCCACCAGTCACGTTGTTTGTTTACAAGCACACAACGACGAGAGACTGGAGCCTTGTGAGTCACTCACTGTTGTTCAGCACACGCCAGGTGATCTAGTTACAGTATGGAATTCACAACTAAATGTAACTGTCTAAAATGTGCTAAATGCTCTGCAGCTGTGCATTTGGTTTGCTAACTTAGTAGCTTGTTATCTAGCTAAGTGGTTAACTTCTTGCAATCAAGTTCCTCTTGGTAATAGCAGAGAATCTCCTCCTGGATCAAGAGCGTTGCTGTCTAATACTTGTTTTGTGCAGCAAACTGAGTAGCATTTCTGAGTTCCTTGTATAACTTTATGAGCAGGGATGTCTGTCCTGCAAATAGTTTATGTCAGATTGTATAAAACGTTTGCATGTGTTCATTAGCATTTAGTGAGCATTCGCTATTGGATTTGACATGTACTTGTTAGCATTGCTAACCTTTGGATTGCAAATGCCGCCCCTTGTGTTCAGTTCCAGTATTACAGAATATCCCGGTATGGCACGAGGTCAGTATGAAGGTCTGACAATCTGGATACCGCCCAAGCCTCATAATTGCCCTTCATTTTATGTCTGAAGTGTGATCTTACCAATTTCCCTCTGGGACAAAAACTTGAAGTTGAAAGAAGCCCATACCTGTCTCATAAGAGTAGACTTTCCTCCCATGTTAGGCCCGGTGACCAGCACACAGGGGGCGCGTCCTTTATCTAGCCCCTCCTCCACGTTGCCCGGCCAGCCAATGGCAATGTCATTAGGAATGAAGTCATCACCGAAGAAGGTTTTGGTGACACAGGGGTGGCAGGAGCCCCTCAGGTCCAAGAAGGCTGCTGATGGGCTGTCGTCGCCAGGAAGTATTACTTGAGGCTGTGTCATTGGTCCTCCGTCTCCCCCCTGGCTATACTGCGTCAGACTCAGCAACACATCTGAAACAGTAACAGGGATAGGTCTGAAATAAAAAACGTTTTCAAAAACAATTATATAAACCTGCATGATAACACGACACATATGCCTAGAAACGTCAAATTGACTGAATATTGACTAAACAATGTGTAGCTTTTCATTGACCAAATTGCCTTCAAGGCAAGCAGCATCCAAGCCCAAGGATATCCCCTTCCACACCCTCCTCGTCCTTATACTAAGCCCTAGTTCGAACACTGCCCTATCGCCGCACCCAACTAAAGAAATACATCACTTCCTCTTTGGAGGAGCGGGATAGTGTCGTCTAAACCATAGAGTGCATCTTGTCGGACTAATTTGGACGATAGTTCAGCCTCTGTCCCTATTTCAGCGTGGTGCGGGTGAAGCACGCCTCCGTTTCATGCAGCGCACCAGAGCAGTTCTTCCACTGATGGGAGAAATGGTAGTTCATGTTCATTGCATTCAAATAAAGGTTGCTTCACTACCCACAACAGAAGCACAATCGTGGCCTCGGATTCGCAGGTGTTGGTGGTTATGCCTTAATTCGACACAAAACCAACGAGGAAGTCTGCTGCAGTGTTGAGAGCGGTTGTATGAAACCAAAATCAGTACGTCCAGAAAAGTTCTCAACCGTGCCAGCCCGCTTTTCATTTCTATTCAGTTCGACTAGCCATACATTTGACGTCTGAACTGTGTGTAACACTGGCAGAGTTCGGTTCTGTTCATTCATTTCTAATAGGATTGTTTTAGCAGCTCTGTGGTGTAAAGAGAACTAAACACAATGCTTAGTAGAGTACCAGACAGGGCCGTTAGAGAAAAACATTTATGGGTGCATCCCAAATGGCAGCCTATTGCTAATGGACCCTGGTCAAAGGTAGTGCACTATATAGGGAATATGGTGCCATTAGGGACAACCATTATGTGGAGCTGCAGTAGAGATCAATAATTAACAATGCAATCATCATCTCTTAGTTTCCCCTCCATCTTTAACGAGACAGTCCCACTGCTGCAAAAGCTAAATCAAGCTAATGTGGGCTTGTGGGGTAGAAATGTATTAACCTTTATTTAAACAGGGAGTCGCATTGAGATAATATAATATAATATGCCATTTAGCAGACGCTTTTATCCAAAGCGACTTACAGTCATGCGTGCATACATTATTATTTTTTTGTGTATGGGTGGTCCCGGGGATCGAACCCACTACCTTGGCGTTACAAGCGCCGTGCTCTACCAGCTGAGCTACAGAGGACCACGAGATAAAACTATTTTACAAGAGATCTTATATGTATACGTTTACAAATAAAACATAATACATAAATAAAACACAACAGCCCTACAAAAGTTTGGGGTCACTTAGAAATGTCCTTGTTTTCCATGAAAACATACATGAAATGAGTTTGAATAGGAAATATAGCAAAATGCATAAGAAATGTAGTCATTAAAAGGTTAGAAATAATCATTTTTAATAGAAATAATAATTGTGTCCTTCAAACTTTGCTTTTGTCAAATAATCCTCCATTTGCAGCAATTACAGCCTTGCAGACCTTTGGCATTCTAGTTGTCAATTTGTTGAGGTAATCTGAAGAGATTTCACCCCATGCTTCCTGAAGCACCTCCCACAAGTTGGATTGGCTTGATGGGCACTTCTTACGTACCATACGGTCAAGCTGCTCCCACAACAGCTCAATAGGGTTGAGATCCGGTGACTATAATGGAGTGGCCAGCACAGACAGAATACCAGCTGACTGCTTCTTCCCTAAATAGTTATTGCATAGCTTGGAGCTGTGCTTTGGGTCATTGTATATTGTATAACATGGAAAATAATAGGTTTTGTGATAACTGCACTGTGATTTAAAAATGTTGTGGAAAAAACAAAAATACATACATTTTTCTCAATGTCAAGGATTCCAATTTCATTTAAATGTTTTAACGTTTAAACGTTCACACCCCTAGTAATCAGTATCATTGAAAATAAAGTACCGGTACTGAAAAACTGGATGACGTGAAATGTATAAAGACTCACACAAAGAAAGAAAAAAACATTTTCAAAAAAAAAGAACAGCGAACCTGCAGACAGCCCCTCCTGCATAGCCGAGGACAGAGAAGCCTTGAAGATTTTACGGGTTTCGACTGAAGGGTTTCCCTTCTCGAAGAGCACCTGTGTTGCCAGAAAGAAAAGAAAGGATAAAGTATAGAATGAATACCTTTATGTTTTGACCAGGCCAGATCAATGTTGTGTCATTATGTATTACCAAACTATGTGTCTTGTTGTTGTTGGGTGATTGTGAGTGTTGTGTCTAAGTATAGGGGGACATTTTCCTAAAGAAAAATTATGTGACTTGCTTCAGCTCTCCAAACGTATTGTTATGGTAGTAGAAGTTTAAATAGTTAGTGTTGAAAAATTGAGGCTGTAGAAAAAGTAGTGACTGACCTGTGCGGGGGTGTAGTGTGACAACAGGGTGCGGAGCCGGGAGCAGTGTCGGTCGTCCTGGAACTGGCCCCAAAGGTCCTGCAGCGCCCTGAACTCTCCACCTCTGCCTTGAGATGAGAGGAAATTAGGTTATACTCTATTGTTGGTTTGTGCAAAAATGTGTTTTGCAATGAAACCTCAATGTCACACAATGTAAAAAAGTTTAGGGCGAGTTCATGAAAATATATATATATTTTTAGGAAGTTTAGGCTTGTAGTGCAGCTTTGCTAACATCGTGGGAATGTGGCCTACACAGACAACTCAAGGTAAGAGGAATTTAACCGAAACATGATTATTAGATGAACTAGATAACCCTGTAAAAAGGCATCCAGTAAAATATCACATAAACATCAGCCTCACAAAACACGGAATACATCCTACCTTCTCCTTGATGCTGAGGAGGTATTTGCTCCGTCCAACACGCTGTAGGTCTGTGTTCCCTGCGTGATGATCCGTAGTGATAAAGGGGGGGAAACCGATACAATTATTACATATCGCAATATTATTTTGGACGATATTATAATCGATACATTGACTCCAAGTACAAGTCAAAAGGTTAAGCTGTCTTTCAAAAAGTCAGTGTAAGCCAGGGTTCCCCAACTGGCAGCCCACAGGGTGATTTTATTTGGCCCCAAGTTTTCTGAGCAAAAACTAGTTGTATTTTCATTTTTTATTGTTGCACATAAAATACTGTAAAAACACCAGCAAATCAGCTCCAAGTTATTTTAATTTTGGACATCTGTTCCAAAGTATTCCCACACATAATAGAGAGATATGTGATTGTATACAAATGTAAGCAAGGTTTGAAATGATTATGTTTTAGTCAAATATTATATCCGTTTGGGCTTCTTGCGTTCAATTTGCAATCTACAAATGATCTGTAATTATGCATCGGCCCCCTGACCATCCGCTCAACAAAAATAAAACAATTGTTTTTTAAAACGGCTCCCCACCTTGTATCCCTTCTGCACCAGTCCGTCTGAGAAACGTCCGAAGCCGATCTCGGGGAAACCAGAGTGGGCCCAGGCCCCCTTCATGAAAGTCAGACCCAGCTGGTTGACACCGATCACAGAGTCCATATGGTACAGCTCATAGAACTTCCCTACCTGAATAACAATACATTGATTTGCACCTTTCAAGATAGACAAGGACACTTATGGCCAGTTTCACAGCCACAGATTCAACCTGGTCCTGGACTAAAAAGCATACTCAATGGAGAATCTCCATAAAGTGCTTTTTAGTTTAGACTAGGCTTAATCTGTGTCTGGGAAACCGGCCGCAGAGATAAAAATATAGTATACACCAAATAGAAAACACTCAACATTACTAATAATATATTAAATATATTACACAAAGCAGCATTGCACCGCCACCAAAATACAGCACAACACACAGACAAGCATGGGGTGATCCAATCCTAAATCCTGGCCACTGCTGATATACTTTAGAAATACATTTGATTGATTGATAGTACCTTGTAGAAGAGCACAGTGTCGAACATCTCCGACTTGAGCTGCCACCAGCGCCGCATGCCTGGGGTCGTTTTGTTCAGGAAGTCTTCTGGGACGTAGAGAGTCGTGGGGCCGTAGTCTTCCTCAGACTGTCTACGTCTCTTGGCGTCTTTCCTCCGGCCGTCCTGTAGCCAATCAAGCTTCTCGTGGTCCCATACCGTAGCCCCACCTCCTCCGCCGGCACCTGAGTCATTCGCCTTGCTGTCGAAGCTCTCCGGCGCCGAAAAGGCTGAGAGTCGAGACTTGGTGTCGGCTGTGATGGTGCTAGATAGGGGGGCTCTCTTGGCGGGTTCTGGAAGAGTGGGAGTCTTGGGTTTTGGTTTGGCACTGGCTGGCTTCTCCGCGGGTCGTTTGCGTTTTACCGGTTTAACTGGGCTGTCGGGTTCAGTCTCAGGTTCACTTTCTTCATCCTCCTCCGACGTATTGTTCACTACCTCATCTTCCTCACTGCTGCCGCCGGCCTGCTCTGGTTTGAATTCATCGCCCGAGCCTTCACTCTCGGAGGTGACCACGATGCGGCGACGCTTGGGCTTGCTGCCCTGTTCGGCTGTGGGGCGGGATGAACGGCGACTGGGCTTTGACTTCACAGTCTCCTCATTTTCCTCTTCAGTCAGATCTTCATCGGTCAGCGTTGACTTCTCAAGCTGTCGGAGCAAGGGCAAATGAACATATTTGTTTTTCAAGGTTCTGAAAATATTTAACATGTTTGTGTTACACATGCCAGTCTGTACACGAGACAGAGGAACAGTATATTATCATTATTAAGTGGTAAGTTCAAAGTTAAAAATAACTTGTTATACACTACAAGATGGAAAAAGTGTTGATACTGGCTTACATATGTATTGAACAATGTCTCTAGATAGATAAATAGATTGTGGATTAATAGATTGTGGATTAATCAAGTATTAATCAAAGAGAAATGCAATGCCAGCAGCAGTACATTCAGACAGAAAGGTTGTCTCGCCTCTATATCCTCCTCCTCCTCCTCAGCATCAGATGGGTCCATACAGACAGGCATCTTCAGTCTGGTCTCTGAGCCGTCTGCAGCAGAGCAGCATCAGCCAGCTCCATGGCCCTGCGGATCACAGGCTTACCACTGAAGAACAGCCCTCCTGTCATAGCATCACTCCTGTCTGAGCCTGGGAGGGAGTACAAATGAGAAAGGACATTATTTTTAGTACACTCCAAAGTGTATATGGCTCTAGAATCAATACAAGGCATGTTTTGGAGAAGTTATTGCTGTAGAAATATAGCTTAAATCTTAACTGACATCTTGTATTCATCCTCACTCGCCATAGCATAGCTAGAATTAGCCTTATACCAGATTTGCTCGTGCCGTCGTGCTAACTCCAATGGTGATTGTCATTCATGACAACAAACATAAGCGTTGGCAAGACGGCACAAACAGATCTGGGACCAGGCTACATGACAGTACAAACAGATCTGGGACCAGGCTACATGACAGCACAAACAGATCTGGGTCCAGGCTACATGACAGCACAAACAGATCTGGGACCAGGCTACATGACAGCACAAACAGATCTGGGACCAGGCTACATGACAGCACAAACAGATCTGAGACCAGGCTAACCTATAATAGATAGACCATTGATGTCCATGTGCACAGGTGGTGACGTAGCACCCTGTAGATAGTAAAGGCAGGGAGTTTTCCACAGGTAAACCACAGCTTTCTCACCGTGATACTCGCGGATGCATTTGGTGCTGACCCAGCCCCTGGTCGGAGGCTCGTCGAGGAAGTGGACGTGCAGGGGCTGGGTTTTACCCCTGCCCCTCATCTGCTGCCCGCAGAGGGGCTGGGGCACTACCATACACGGCCACCAGGGGTGCCCTTCTAGCTTGGCCTACACCAAGGCTCCAGCACTGAATGGACTGGAAGAAAAGAAGATGGAGAATAATACAGACAATGGTTTGCCTAGAAATAATCTCTCCTTTCTCCACTTGTTTACCTCTCTTCATGGATTTTAAATGAAATTACTGGTATGGCAACTCCCTCGTCTACTCTAGCACACGTCTATCCAACGCTTTTTACATTTGTGGGGAGCAGTGAAAGAGTGCACACTTCAGTAGGAAAGAGATTGGGACGCATCTAGAGTTCCCTCACTGATTTGTTTTACATTGAAGTGAAGATATGATGCCTTGTCCCTCTAAATATTGGCCTCCTAGCTACATTGAAAAACAAACCATCTGGTGACCACATCTGTAAGTGGTCACCCTGGGTTTACTCCACCCATGACCCCCATTCATGCCAGTCGCATGCAAGTGTTGAATTACATGACATGTTCTCCACCAAATGAGGACGCATGCATGTTACAGTGTACATTGACATGCTTGATCAGAATGGATAATTTCTCCATCAGCAACAGTCAGACAATGGGTGCACATCGAAGTCCGACCGCAAGGCACTACAGAGGGTAGTGCGTTCGGCCCAGTACATCACTGGGGCCAAGCGTCCTGCCATCCAGGACCTCTATACCAGGCGGTATCAGAGAAAGGCCTTAAAAATTGTCAAAGACTCCAGCCACCCTAGTCATAGACTGTTCTCTCTGCTACCGCACGGCAAGCGGTACCGGAGTGCCAAGTCTAGGTCCAAAAGGCTTCTTAACAGCTTCTACCCCCAAGCCATAAGACTCCTGAACAGCTAATCATGGCTACCCGGACTATTTGCATTTTTCACCCCCTCCTCCACTACGCTGCTGCTACTCTCTGTTTATTATCTATGCATTGTCACTTTAACTCTACCTACATTACCTCGACTAACCTGCTGTGCCCCCGCACATTAACTCTGTACCGGTATATAGCCTCGCTACTGTAATTTTACTGCAACTCTTCAATCATTTGTTATTTAAATTGTTTTGTTATTTTTTACTTAACACTTATTTTTCTTAAAACTGCATTGTTGGTTAAGGGCTTGTAAGTAAGCGTTTCACTGTAAGGTCTACACCTGTTGTATTCGGCGCATGTGACAAATAACATTTGATTTGATAGACAAATCACTACCATCAACTGACAAGTTAATCGTATTACCTTGCATAACGTCTCTGTGTCGACGATCCTTTTAGCTAGGTAGTTCACAAATCAAACGTCATTACCACACGAACTATAGTTAGCTAGCTAGCTACCGCAAGGCCACATCAGAGCAACGTTGTTCTTGTGCTAGCTTGCTAAGTAACTTTAGATCTGCCTTACCTCTCATTTACTGTTGGTGTCTTATTCCCAAAGAGTTTTCCGAATCCGCCTTTGATCGCTTTTGCATTGTGTGGTTTTGCAGGAGTCTTTTTAGTGGTCGGAGTTTGAGATGCTTGCTTAGTTTCATCTTTTGGCGAGTTGTTGTTTTTTCGAACCGAGGATGGCAAGTCAGCTTCTGTAGGCGAGGGACTCGGTTTCGCCTTCCGAACAGGTGGCGGAGACTTATTGAAAAAATTGAAAATGCTGCTTTGCTTCGCCATGAAGCCTTTTTAATGAAACAATTATAATAAAATGATTTAGGAAATGTCTATCTGCAAGAATCAGTGCTCGTGCACAGTTCGCGGGAAAATCTCAGAAGGTGAAACGTAATGTAGGCGTGGCTACTGGAAAATTCAGCCAATGGCAAACCATCTTTATTCTTGGGATTTATTAATCAAAGATTTAGGGATTCATGCTGGTTCATGTCAAACAAATAAATGTTCTCTGCCTGAGTAAGAAAAAGTAAGTAAATATAGAAATATTCTATTTTGATGATACAGGCCTACTATGTTATGTGATAGCCACATATCATCAGCAGAGAGCAGTAGTGCTATTTATATAATTGAGACTGTGAAAACGTGTGTAAGCCTACTGCAGGGTTTCACAAACTCGGTCCTCGGGACACCAAGGAGTGCACGTTTTGGTTTTTGCCCTAGCACTACACAGCTGATTCAAATAATCAACTAATCATCAAGCTTTGATAATTTAATCAGCTGTGTAGTGCTAGGGCAAAAACCAAAACGTGCACCCCTTGGGGTCCCGAGGACCGAGTTTTGGAAACGCTGGCCTACTGTGTAATTGTCATAGATACCTTTGGAATTCACCCTGCAAGTTGTTAGTGCATTTTCACAAACTGTGAGCTTACCCAATATTTGTATTTACCATTCTAACATGACCACAGTCACAACAAGATTTATCACTACACTTTCACTCTCCTCTCCCCAAACTCCTCCCTGACTGGAGGACCCGAACCTCAAACTTCTCCCCCACCGTAGGACCGGGATCCTCCTTTCGCGATCTACCTGTTAGAGACGCCAAGTGTAAACTAACCACACTCAGCAAAATGTCTGATATGTTTCATCAGCACTGTTTTGTAAAACATCTCACGTCTTATTCGCGTAGACATCTAACATCACTCCTTTCCTCTTTCTCTTGCTAAAAGTTCTCTCTCCTCTTCACTCTCACTATAAATAAAATCGTATTTAAAGTGCATGTCCTCTTTTTCAATCCCCCTTGGCGTTGTGTTGTGCGCACCACTCCAGTAGACTGCCGCCCGCGCCCGCAATGGTTCTCCAACTTGGGGTCCCAACGTGAGAAGGTTTTGGGGGGTCACTAATGTGAACCTAAATCAATGACGTCAGTGGTGGAAAAAGTACCCAATTGTCATACTTGAGTAAAAGTAAAGATACCGTCATAGAAAATGACTCAAGTAAAACTGAAAGTCACCCAGTAAAATACTACTTGAGTAAAAGTCTTAAAATATTTGGTTTTAAATATACTTAAGTATCAAAATGTAAAACTATACATCATTTTAAATTCCTTATATTAAGCAAATCAGAAGGCACCATTTTCTTGTTTTTAAAATGTATGGATCGCCAGGGGCACACTCCAACACTCAGACATCCTTTACAAAAGAAGCCTGTGTTTAGTGAGTCCACAAGATCAGAGGCAGTAGGGATGACCAGGGACGTTCTCTTGATAAGTGCATGAATTGGACCATTTTCCTGTCATGCTAAGCATTTAAAATGTAATGAGTACTTTTGAGGGTCAGGGAAAATGTATGGAGTAAAAAGTACATTATTTTCTTTAGGAATGTAGTAAAGTAAAAGTTGTCAAAAATATAAATGGTAAAGTACAGATACCCCCCCAAAACAACTTAAGTATTACTTTAAAGCAGGGTTTCTGAAACTCGGTCCTGGGGCCCCACCTGGGTGCACGCTTTGGTTTTTGCCCTAGTGCTACACAGCTGATTCAAATAATCAAAGCTTGATGATGAGCTGGTTATTTTAATCAGCTGTGTAGTGCTAGGGCAAAAAACAAAATGTGCACCGAGGGGGGGCCCCAGGACCGAGTTTGAGAAACCCTGCTTTAAAGTATTTTTACTTAAGTACTTTACACCACTGAATGACCGAAATGGGATTTCATACATATTTTAATAGGCCACAACATAGGCCTATACCACTTGTATTTTATATTTGTTCCTTTAACATCTGGTTACTAACATCTGGTTACTAACATAGCCCCCGAGGTCGGTGCCCCAAATGCGGTAGTTCAGCCCTGCAGGTAGACCATATGATCCTGCTTGCTCAGGACTCCAGAGAAGTGACATGATTTCCCTCGTTGATATTGGCTGCTAAGATGAATGACTTTCAGCTCAAAATGCAGGTGTAAAATGTAGTTTATTTCTGTATCTTGTGTTTAGAAAATGCATCACCATTTATGGCTATGTTACTACAGGCTACATTTGCGCAATGCACTGCTTTTTGGGGGTAGAGGGTCAAAACGTTTGAGAACCACTACAGTAAATGCAGTCATTTGTTTTCTCATGGTTCACACCTACTTTCTGATTTCCTTTGTCTCTCCCACTCTTTCTGTTCTTCTTCTCTCCTTTGTCTCTCCCACTCTTTCTGTTCTTCTTCTCTCCTTTGTCTCTCCCACGCTTTCTGTTCTTCTTCTCTCCTTTGTCTCTCCCATGCTTTCTGTTCTTCTTCTCTCCTTTGTCTCTCCCACGCTTTCTGTTCTTCTTCTCTCCTTTGTCTCTCCCACGCTTTCTGTTCTTCTTCTCTCCTTTGTCTCTCCCACACTTTCTGTTCTTCTTCTCTCCTTTGTCTCTCCCACGCTTTCTGTTCTTCTTCTCTCCTTTGTCTCTCCCACTCTTTCTGTTCTTCTTCTCTCCCTCCTGCAAAATAATAATTGAACCACTGTGCCTCCCTCTCTTCTTTCTCAATTTCTCACTATTTTTAGGTTCTGTGTTACAATGCTCCCTACCTCTGCTGTTGAGCAATGGTGATTTCCGAACCTTCCCACTAAGTCTGGTTTCTCTCTGATTTAGTTTATTTGGCCGCTCTATAGAGCATGTGTGTTTAGCTTGATCATGTATTACATGATTTTTGAAGGTCTTACTGATTGCATGATTGTTGAAGCTCTGCTATACATGCATAATAATTGAGTGGAATGGAAAGTATTTTAGTTTTTCTGTAAACCCCTATATCTTGGAGGGATGTACGCCTATACTGTGTTCTGTGGAATTTGAACCTATTTAAATTGAAGCACGTTTGTAGTGATATTATGTGTGGACTGGAGAAAAAAAAAACTTGATGAACTCTCCCATCTGTCAGTCTTATTTAACCCCCTCTATGAACTCTCCCCTCTGTCATTCTTCTTTAACCCCCTCTATGAACTCTCCCATCTGTCAGTCTTATTTAACCCCCTCTATGAACTCTCCCCTCTGTCAGCCTTATTTAACCCCCTCTATGAACTCTCCCCTCTGTCAGTCTTATTTAACCCCCTCTATGAACTCTCCCCTCTGTCATTCTTATTTAACCCCCTCTATGAACTCTCCCCTCTGTCAGTCTTATTTAACCCCCTCTATGAACTCTCCCCTCTGTCAGTCTTATTTAACCCCCTCTATGAACTCTCCCCTCTGTCAGTCTTATTTAACCCCCTCTATGAACTCTCCCCTCTGTCAGTCTTATTTAACCCACTCTATGAACTCTCCCATCTGACAGTCTTATTTAACTGTCACGGTTTCGGCCGAGGCAGCTCCTCCTCCTTGTTCGGGCGGGTTTCGCCGGTCGTCGTCTCCGGAGTACTAGCTGCCACCGCTCCATGTTTCCTGTTTGTTTAGTTTTGTCTGTTAGCCACACCTGTCTTGTGTTATGTCTCATTAAGCACCCTATTTAGTTTCCTTGTTGTTAGTGTAGTGTTGTGTGTAATTGTTTTGTGTCAGGTGTTTATGCGTGTCCCGTGTTTCGGCACGCCATTTGCTATTTAGCTTCCTCCTCGGTTGAGGAGAGTTTTGCGCCCTGTGTTGTGCGCTCGTGTTTGGACGCCTGTGTGCGTCTTTTGGCCTCTGGCTGTTTTTGGATTATTTTTGCACTCTCCAGTAAAGCCTTGTTGGACTGTCTCTCTGCTTCTGCGCCTGATTCCACACCACACCATTTCTAACATCGTGACAGAATTACACACCTGATATGGAATCAGCAGGAGCACACGTCGACAGCGTGGAGGAACGTCTCCTGGGACAAGAGCATCGCATCAATCGGATCGGGCACGCTTTGGAGGGCGTCATGGACACCCTTCGGCGATGGGAGACCAGCGGTGTTCCCACAGCCCCACCTGTCGCTCCTTCACCACCAGACAACCAGCCCACCCCTCTACCGGAACCCAGTGGAATTCGGCTCTCGCTCCCGAGGGCGTACGACGGCTCCGCTGCCGGGTGTCAGGGGTTCCTTTTGCAAGTGGAGCTCTACCTGGCCACCATACACCCGGCGCCCTCGGGATACGAGAGCGTTTCCGCCCTCATCTCCTGTCTCACCGGCAAGGCGTTGGAGTGGGCCAACGCCGAATGGAGGGGAATAGACTCCGCCACAGTCACCTATGCGGAGTTCTCCCGCCGTTTCCGTGCGGTCTTTGACCATCCACCAGAGGGAAGAGCGGCGGGGGAACGTCTATTCCACCTCCGACAGGGGATGAGGAGCGTTCAAGAGTTTGCGCTGGAGTTCCGGACTCTAGCGGCTGATGCGGGGTGGAATGAGAAGGCCCTCATAGACCACTTTAGGTGTAGCCTTAGGGAGGACGTCCGCAGGGAGTTAGCTTGTAGGGACGCTACATTAACGTTCGACCAGCTTGTGGACATGGCTATTCGTCTGGACAACCTACTCACGACTCGCGGACGTCCCAGATGGGGGCCTCCCATTCCACTCTCCAGCGCCTCCGAGCAGAGTCCCATGGAGCTTGGAGGGGCTGGCGCTAGAGGGAGACGAGGTAGGAACCCGAGGGGGGCAGTCTCCTGCACCAGGTGTGGCCGCGGAGGGCACACCGCGGCTAGGTGCTGGGGAGGGTCCTCTGAGGAGGGAGATGGCAGGCCATACAGTGGGGAGTCCTCCCAGGTGAGTAGGCGCCCTACTTACCCAGAGCTTTCTGTCGTCCACTTTACATTACCTGTTTGTTTTCCACAGGTTGCACCTCGTTCCCAGCATAAGGCGCTAGTCGATTCAGG